CGCGCGCGCCGCGTCCGCCGAATTCAAAGCGGCGCACACGCCGGCATGCGCCGCGGCGAGCGCCGCGCGGGCCACGGCGGGGCCCGGGCGCGCGGCGCACGCCGCGCGCACGCCGCGCGCGCCACGAGCGCCGCGCCCCGCGCCTCCGCCCCCGGGCCGCGCGCCGCGCGCGGCGTCGGGTCGCCTCGCTGACCTCGGCGCGCGTTCTTTCGCCGGTATTTCCGCGCGCGCGCGCGATCTCGAAAAAAACGACACCCGTCTCGGCCCCGACCCCACTCCCACCCTACAAACACACACATCACTCAACGCTCACCCGTGCGCCCGCCCAGGTCGCCGAGCCGCTCCTCACCGAGGACCCGCACCGCTTCGTGCTCTTCCCCATCGAGCACGACGACGTCTGGCAGATGTACAAGAAGGCGGAGGCGTCGTTCTGGACGGCGGAGGAGATCGACCTCTGCCACGACATCAAGGACTGGGACCAGAAGCTCAACGACAAGGAGCGCCACTTCATCAAGCACGTGCTCGCGTTCTTCGCGGCGTCCGACGGCATCGTCAACGAGAACCTGGCCCAGAACTTCGCGACGGAGGTGCAGTGGGCCGAGGCGCGCTGCTTCTACGGCTTCCAGATCGCCATCGAGAACATCCACTCCGAGGTCTACAGCCTGCTCATCGACACGTACATCCGCGACGCCAAGGAAAAGCACGAGTGCCTCACGGCCATCGACACCATGCCCTGCGTGACCAAAAAGGCCCAGTGGGCGCTGCGCTGGTGCGACCCGGACCGCGCGTCCTTCGCGGAGCGCATCATCGCCTTCGCGGCCGTCGAGGGCATCTTCTTCTCCGGCTCGTTCTGCGCGGTCTTCTGGCTCAAGAAGCGGGGCCTCATGCCCGGCCTCTCCTTCTCCAACGAGCTCATCTCCCGCGACGAGGGCATGCACTGCGACTTCGCGTGCCTCCTCTACTCGAAGCTCCGGAACAAGCTCCCCGTCGAGACGATCAACGCGCTCATCGGCGACGCGGTGACCATCGAGAAGGAGTTCGTCGTCTCCGCGCTGCCCGTGGAGCTCATCGGCATGAACTCGCGGACCATGTGCCAGTACATCGAGTTCTGCGCGGACCGGCTCCTCCTCGCGCTCGGCTGCCCGAAGCTCTACGAAGCGACGAACCCCTTCGACTGGATGGAGCTCATCTCGCTCCAGGGCAAGACGAACTTCTTCGAGAAGCGCGTCGGCGAGTACGCCAAGTCCGGCGTCGGCGTCACCAAGGAGGAGGCCGCGTTCTCCACGGACGTCGACTTCTAGGCCGCCGCCCGCCCGGACGCCCGCAAGACCCAAGCTCGCCTCGCCCCCAGCCCCCCGAAAAAAGAAAAAAAAGCCCCGGCCTCGGGTACGTAAGAGAACCTGCCACCGTTACCCGTCCTCGCGGCCGCTCCGCGAGTCGTCGAGCGCGGAGAGCCACGCGGACAGCGGCGCCCACGCGAGCAGGAGCCGCTTGTACTTGCGCTGCGACGACTTGAGGCGGTGGATCTTCTCCGCGACGCTCTCCTGGTACTTGATGAAGCCGCCGAGCGCCTCGAGCCCCAGCGACGCGCCGGCGAGGAGGATCGCGACGAGCGGCACGCCCAGGTAGAGCAGGCGCCAGAGGCCCGACCGCTGCGACGCGAGGGCCGACGCGTGGACCGCGGTCTGCAGGTCGTCCATCATCGCCTGGAGCGAGTCGATGCGGCAGCTCTGCACCGCGAACCAGCGCGCGTGGTCCGGCTCGCCGCCGCCCCTGGCCTCCGACAGCGCCGTCCGGAGGCCGACGGCGTCGTGGACGCACGGGAGCGCCGCGTGCTTCGCGTAGGACGTGACGAAGCGCCGTGGCGCGAAGGCGAGGAACGACTGCAGCGCCGCGTCCTGTAAAGCGACGACGCGGCCGAGGCGCGCGAGCGTCGCCGGCGACGCGCGCGCGGCCCCGCGTCGCGGCGGCGAGGTCCGCGGCGACGAGGCCCCGCTCGACGGCGACGTGCTCCTTCGGCGGCCCGGCGCGAGGCCGCAGAACGACGACGCCGCCAACGTCGCGCCGTCGGCGCACAGGCCCTCGACGCGGAGCTTCGAGCCCGGGCTGAGGCCGACGACGAGGGCGCCCACGAGCACGGCGGCGACGCGCGTGAGCGCCGAGGTCGGCTGCGGCGGCGCCGCGGGCTCGTCGGCCGTCGGCGGCGCGCCGGCGTTGCTGCCGTTGCGCGCGGCGGCCTTGCCGCGGCGCAGCTTGGCAACCATGAATGCAGTTGGCGAGGTCAACGCTCAGTGCGATCGGGCACACATCTCGATGGTCGACCGGTCGAGGTGCAACCCAGCCGGCCGGAGCCGATGTTCACGCAACGAGGCCTGCAACGTTGGCGGCATGATCGACGACGGCAGCCCGCTCGATTCCCGCTCGGTCGCAACGACGCCTCAAAGGGAAAACATTGCGCCTTAAGAACCCCCCCCCTAGGGCCCGTACTTGGGCCCGTTGGGCCCGCAGGCCGCGTCGTCGCCCGTGCACCAGCGCGCGTAGATCTCGTCCTTCGCGCGCTTCTGCGTGTGGAGGCCGAAGCGCAGGTTCATGGACTCGCGGTTGCCGTCGTCGCAGAAGAGGCCGTGGACGCAGACGTTGCGCGCGTCGCCGCTGAGCGCGTAGCAGTGGCCCTCGGGCACCTCGACGCGCCACTCGCGCGGCGGCGCGCCGTCGTCGCCGTCGTCGCGCAACAAAACCGTCGCGGCGCACTTGACGGCGACGGTGACGATGACGACGCCGAAGCCGTCGTTGCGGGGCCAGTCGAGGTGGCAGGGCAGGTGGCGCGCGCCCGCGTGGACGTTCGGCTGAACGGCCACAAGATTGCCGTAGGTCGCCTCGGCGTCGTAGGGCCGCGGCAGGGCGCGCGCCGCCGCCGCCGCGACGCGCGCGAGCGCCGCGGCCGCCGCCGCGTCGGGCGCGTAGTCGACGCAGGACGCCCAGTTCCGGTCCGACTCCTCGACGCGCTTCGCCGCGCCGGCCGTCTCGAAGCTGTGGAAGCGGATGGCGCGCCGGAGCCGCGTGCGGCCGTCGCCGAGGAGGCCGTAGCCCCGCCAGCGCGTGTCGCGCTCGTCGCTGCCGCCGGCCCAGGGGATGGGCGTGTCGATCGACCGCTTCACGTGGTCGTGGACGCGCCGCAGCTCCTCGAGGTCGCCGGGCGCCAGCGGCCAGCAGGCGAGGCCCGCGGGCGCCTTGGACGGGTCCGCGGGCGCGCCGCCGGCGTCGAAGACGACGGGCGGCAGGCGCCGCACGCGCGCGCACTCGCGCCTCGCGTCGACGGCGACGCTCCGCGCGTCCGCGTCGCGGCGCTTCGCGGCCTCGGCGGACGCGCGCTCGGCGGCCAGCGCCGCGACCTGGGCCGGGTCGCGCCGCGCGCTCCGCCGCGGCGCGTCCGCGGCCGGGAGCTGGAGCCGGCGGCGCGTGGCCTGGGCCGTGGGGATGGGCAGGGCCGGGGACGTGAGCGCCGGCGGCGACACCGGCGACGGGGTCTTGCGCTTCTTCGAGCGAGCAGGCGGTGGGCTGTCCATATGGTGAACGTCGTCCAGGGTAGGGCTGCGTGCAGCGCGCGTTTCCGTTCTCGTCGAGGCTCGTGAGGCGTCGGCCGGACCACGCTCGTGGACGAGAGAGACTTTGCCACAGACCACAACTTGTGGCAAAAGGGTTTGCGCTCGCCGAGCAACACCAGCCTCGCCGCCGTCGCTGCCGTCACAGCAACGATGGTCGAGACGCGGTCCGCGCGCAAGGCGAAGCGCGAGCCCAACGGCGCTTCGTCGCCGCGCGCCAGATCTCCCGCGGCGAAGGCCAGGAAGGCGCCGGCGAAGGCGGCGCCGAAGCACGTCGAGTTCGAGTTCGGCGGTCCCATCGGCGCCGGCGCCAACGTCGTGCTCCTGCCCTGCGTCGTCGTGGGCCTCGCCGTCGCCTGCGACGGCGCCTTCTGCCTCGGCCCGTCGCCGCTCGCCGCCTTCGCGCCGCCGGCGCTCGGCGAGCTTTTGCAACCGAAGGCCTTCGCCGTCGTTTTAGGATGGCTCGCGTTCCAGGCGTCGCTGCAGGTCGCCCTGCCCGGCGACGTCGTCGAGGGCACAAAGCTCGCCGACGGCACGCGCCTGCCCTACCTCATGAACGGCCACCTCGCCTTCTGGGTGTCGCTCGCGGCCCTCGCGTGCGGCGTCCCCCGATTCGACGCGACCGGCGGCTTCGTCGGCCTCGGCGCCGCGGACCTCGCGTTCCTCTACGACGACTTCGCGCCCCTCGCCGTCGCCGCGTCGGTCGTCTCGGCGCTCCTGGCCCTGGGCCTCTACGCCGCGTCGTTCCGGCCGTCGAAGCCCCCGCTCGCGGAGCCGGGCGACACGGGCCGCGCCGTCTACGACTTCTGGATGGGCCGCGAGCTCAACCCGCGGATCGGGTCCTTCGACCTCAAGTGCTTCTGCGAGCTCCGGCCGGGCCTCATCGGCTGGGCCGTGCTCAACGCGGGCATGCTCTGCAAGCAGCGCGAGCTCGACGGCAAAGTCTCCGGCGCGATGGTCCTCGTGAACGCGTTCCAGCTGCTCTACGTCTGGGACGCGCTCTTCTACGAGAAGGTCATCCTGACGACCATGGACATCACGACGGACGGCTTCGGCTACATGCTGGCCTTCGGGGACCTGGCCTGGGTGCCGTTCACCTACTGCCTGCAGGCGCGGCACGGCGCGGGACACACGGGCGCGAACTTCCCAAAGGCTCCGCTCTCGGCCGGTTTCCGCTCGTTTCGGCCGATTTTTGGACGAGCGATCGTGTCTCGGAACGGTCGCGACGCGCGGATGCTTGTTCTTTTGAGAGCGCGCGCGCGGAACGCTCACGTTGCATCACTCGTGTCCCGCCCAGGCGCGGTACCTCGTGCGCCACGACCCGGGGCTCGGGCCGGTCGCGCTCGCGGCGATCGTCGCGCTCAAGGTCGTCGGCTACGCCGTCTTCCGCGGCGCGAACAACCAGAAGGACGCCTTCCGCCGCGACCCGGCGAAGGCCATCGCCGAGGGCACGACGTTCCTCGACACGCGGCGCGGCACGAAGCTCATCACGTCCGGCTACTGGGGCGCCGCGCGCAAGGTCAACTACACGGGCGACTGGCTCATGTCCCTGGCCTGGTGCCTCCTCGCGGGCTTCGGCTCGCCCGTGCCCTACTTCTACTGCGCCTACTTCCTCGTCCTGCTCGTGCACCGCGCGCTCCGCGACGACCACGCGTGCGCGCTCAAGTACGGCGCGGACTGGCCCGAGTACAAGAAGAAGGTGCCCTACCTCTTCGTCCCCTTCGTCTTCTAGGACCTAACAAGAAGGAGCGGCCAATTGGAGTGTCGTCGCGGCTCGACGCGTCGCGACGCGAGGCCTGGCACGGACTTGCGGGCGTCGGCCGAAGTTGGTGCAAGCGCTGCGCTTCGGCTGATCGATCCTGCACGAAGCGATTCAAACGAAGCGATTCAAAGCAGCAGCGCATTGTCCAGGCAAACGATGGCCGTCGGAGCAGAACCAGCGCCGCCGGCGTACGATATTGTGGAGATGAAGGAGGGCGTCGTCGTGAAGACGCTGCACGATTCCTTCGACGGCTGGATGGCCGCGCGCACGGAGCGCGTTGCCCAGCGTCGCTTTGCACGCGCGCCGCGCGCGACGACGACCCCACCCCGCCCACAGGTTCGGCAAGGTGCGCAACAGCGTCGAGGGCAAGGCCGCCAAGGAGGCGGGCACCGTGCTCCAGCTCCGCGTCAACGGCGCGGTCAAGATGACGACGGGCGAGGAGCCCAAGAAGGGCAAGAAGCGGCCGTCGAAGGAGGGCGCGGCGAAGAAGGCCGCGCCGGCGAAGAAGAAGCCCAAGAGCTCCGAGGAGGGCGCCGCGCCCGCGGCGCCCGCGGCCGAGGCCGCGGACGGCGACGCCGCGGACGGCGGCGACGGTTCCGAGGAGCCCGAGACCGTCATGGTCAAGCAGAGCGGCTACGCCCACTTCTCGGCCGTCAACCGCGAGGGCGTCAAGGCCGCCATCGAGGGCGACGCGGCGAACGCGGAGCTGCCGCCCAAGGAGCGCAACCAGATGGTCATGACGAAGCTCGGCGCGAACTGGTCCGCGCTCGACGACGCGGCCAAGGCCAAGTGGAAGGACGAGGCGCCCATGGTCGAGAAGAAGGCCAAGAAGAAGGCCGACAAGGACGACGACGACGGCGAGACCGTCATGGTCAAGCAGACGGGCTACGCGCACTTCATGGCCGTCAACCGCGAGGGCGTCAAGGCCGCGATCGAGGGCGACGCGGCGAACGCGGAGCTGCCGCCCAAGGAGCGCAACCAGATGATCCTGAAGAACCTCGGCGCCAACTGGTCGGCCCTCGACGACGCGGCCAAGGCCAAGTGGAAGGACGAGGCGCCCATGGTCGAGAAGAAGGTCAAGAAGGCCAAGGAGCCCAAGGAGCCCAAGGCGCCCAAGGAGAAGAAGGCCGGCGGCCGCGACACGATCCGCGACCAGGCCGAGCTCCAGGAGAAGATGGACGCCGACGGCTGGACCAAGGAGGAGAAGCCGCGCGGCGGCGACTCGGCGCACGTCGACAAGTACTACCTCCCGCCCGCGGGCTCCGGCGGCAAGCGCTGCCGGTCCATCCTCGAGGTCGCGCGCGCCGCCTACCCGGAGCACGTCGTCGCGGGCACGAACGAGAAGAAGGAGAAGAAGGCGCCCGCGGAGAAGAAGGCCAAGAAGGCGCCGGAGCCCGCGCCGGAGAAGCCCGCGACGAAGTCCATCGAGGAGTACTACCTCGGCAACCTCAAGCCGGGCAAGCCCGACGCCAAGGCGCCGGAGCCCGAGGAGCCCAAGAACCCCTTCGAGGACGACGGCGACGCGAAGATGGACGACGCGCCCGCGGCCGACGAGCCCGCCGCCGAGGAGCCGGCCGCCGCCGAGGAGGCCGCCGTCGAGGAGGCGCCCGCGGCCGTCGAGGAGGCGCCCGCGGCCGTCGAGGAGCCCGCGGAGGAGCCCGCCGCGCCCGCGGAGGAGCCCGCCGCGCCCGCGGAGGAGCCCGCGGCCGCCGCCGAGGCGAGCGACGCGGCGCCCATGGAGGAGTGAGCGCGACCAAGCGCGCCACGCAAGATCAAGCCGTGGAGGAGGCGCCCCGCGCGCGCCGCGCGCGAGTAAGGCCTCCGTACGACGACGGGTACGACGCGTGGTACGGCGCGGACGCGTCGTGCGGACGTCGTCCGACGACTCGGGCGCCGACCCCCGGCGACGCGGGCCTCGAGGCTTTTTGATAGCTCGAGGTGCGCGCCCCGTGCGCTCGACGCTCTCGCGCGCACCGCTGCACCGCCGCACAGTTCCCGGCCGTCGCACGTATTGCGCGAGCGCGTCGCGCACGAACGCGCGCGACGCGGACGCGGTCGCCGCATCGACCAGTTTGAACAGAGCACGCCCATGGTGGACCTGTCGGCGTCGATCCGGTTGGGCTCGCAGCGGTTCCTCGCGCGGTCGCAGGCCATCTTCGACGCCGAGGCGGACAAGTTCGAGCTCTACTACCTGAACAACATCGCCGCGCTGCCCGTGGAGACGGCGCCGACGTCCGGCATCGCCGACGGCGCGCCGACCGGCGCGACGGCCGACGACGAGGACGCCGTCGACGCCGAGATCGCCGAGCTCCTGGCGCGCCTGCGGACCGCGGAGCAGCGCGAGCGCGACCTCGGCGGCGCGCCGGAGGCCGCGCCGACGTCGCCGCTCCTCGAGGAGCTCCGCGCGAGCTCGAGCGAGGTCCTGTCCGCCGCGTGGCACTCCAAGTGGAGCGCCGAGCTCCAGCGGCTCCACAAGCGGTGCTGGGAGCTCATGAGCGAGCTCGCGGACTACAGCGCGCTCGAGGACGCGGCCGCCGCGTGACGGCGCGCGGCCCCTCCTCCCTCGGGCGAGTACGGCCTAAGGCACTATGTTGTGGCCGCCTGCCCCGCCCTGGACAAGCTTCTGATTTTACTATCGACAGGGGCGCGGCCGTCCCGCGCTCGCCGCGCGCGCGGACTCGCCGAACCGCCTAGCCGTCGGCGACGTTGTACTTGGCGAAGAGCCACTCCGGGTTCGACATGTGCTTGAACTCGAGGTTGTTGCCGCTCGGGTCCTTGAAGAAGCAGGTCCACTGCTCGCCCGGCTCGCCCTCGAAGCGCAGCGTCGGCTCGATGACCCAGGGGATCTTCGCGGCGTTGACGCGCGCGACGATGGCCTCCCAGGCCTCGAGCGTCGGCATCTGGAGGCCGTAGTGGGGCACGGGCACCTCGTCGCCGTCGACGGGGTTCACGTAGTCCTGGCACCGGTAGTCCTCGCCGACCCAGTGGACGACGACCTGGTGCCCGTGCATCGCGTAGTCCTGCCACTTCGTGCTCGACCGGCCCTCCTCGCAGCCCAAAATGCCGCCGTAAAAGGCCTTGGCCTCGTCGATGTTGTGCACGGGAATGGCGACGTGGAAGGGCACGCCGGGCGCCGGCTGCGCGCGGATCTCGTACTTTGACGCCTTGGCGGAGAGCGGGCGCGCGCCGTTGGGCCGCGCGCGGGTCTCGAGCTGGCGCGCGCCGTTGGGCCGCGCGCGGGTCTCGAGCCGGCGCGCGGAGCGCAGCGATCCGCGGGCGATGGTCGCGGCGCGCTGCATGGTCGCGCGGCTGCGGACGAGGACGAGGCAAGAGGCCGTGGAGGTGACGACGGGAGGTGGAGGAGGTCATTGAACTGCTTCTTGAGGTCGAGGTTGCTCAAGAAACTCCGGGGGCGGGGCTGCCTCGACGTCTGGCCCACCAGTTCCGACGCCGTCGTGCCGCGCAACCATGAAGGCCATGTACAAGAGCGTGAAGCGCGCCGTGGGCATCAAGAGCAGGAAGCCCCCGAAGGACGGCGACGACGAGCTCGCCGCCGTCGCCTCCGAGGAGGCCGGCCTCTGGAGCTCGCCCGACGAGGACGCCAAGCAGGCGTTCCAGCGCGACAAGTGGCTGCCCTTCTTCCGCGAGGTCGACGGCGCCGTCAAGGCGACCCGCAAGCGCTACGAGGAGGGCGTCGGCTTCGAGGCCGTGCTGCCGCCGCAGGCCGACTGGGCCGCGTGGACGACGCGATGCCGCGCGCTCACGCTCGAGTGGCACGGCTCGCCGAACGTGTCCATGCTCTACGAGGCGCTCATCGAGTGCAGCGAGCACGACGGCGAGGCGCCCTACCGCTTCGAGCAGGTGCCGCACAGGGCAGCACAAGAGAGCGAAATTCCCAACTTCAAAGGCTCCTCTCTCGGCCGGGGGTTCCGCTCGTTTCGGCTGATTTTTGGACGAGCGATCATCTCTCGGAACGGTCTCGAAGCGTGGATGTGTTTTCCCTAACGCGCGCGCGCGGAACACTCACGTTGAAGCGACGTTGAATCACTCTTGTGCTGCCCAGGTGCCGCAGACGAGGTCCGCCGACGGCTGGGTCCGCGCGCTCGACGCGGGCGTCCGCGGCTCCTTCTACGGCAAGGGCGTCGCGCGGCCGGAGCGGCACGACCCGCTCAAGCAGCAGGTCGGCGAGTCGCCCATCGACAACACCATATTGCCCGCGGTCATGACGACGCACGAGGCGCGCGTGCTCCTCGTGGGGAACCGCATCCGCGGCTTCCTCGTGACCTACGTCCGCAAGAAGCAGCGGAAATACGTCGCCGCGCTCGTCGCCCAGGGCGCGTTGGAGCCGGGCGTCGACGAGGGCGGCCGCGAGGCCTTCGGCGCCGCGCTCGCGGCCGTGCCCGACGCGGCGCTCGCGGCCGCGGGCGTCGACGCGGCGTCGACGGCCTGGGCGCGCCTCAAGGCCAAGGGCGCCTTCATGGTGTCCTTCGGCCAGCTGACCATCGAGCGCCAGCGGAGCGTCGACGCGTTCCTCGACGACGCTTTAAAACGAGTCTCCGCGTCGCCGAAGAAGGCGAGCCGCCGCTTCTCGAGCGTCGCCGCGCGCGCGCTCGCGGACGCGCGGCGCGCGGACGCGCCGCCGCCGCCGCCCGAGGACCCGGCGCTCCTCGCGGAGTTCGTCGCCTTCGAGCACGCCCACCCGGGCCGCGTCTTCCGCGGCGACGATTCGCTCCACGAGCGCCTCGTCATGGCCGCGCTGCTCTCGCCCGAGTTCCGCGTGCTGAAGCGCAGCGTCGTCGAGCAGTTCACGGACCACCGCTACATCGCGACGCCCTGGACGCGCAAGGTGCCCCTCGTGGGGCTCGGGGACGGCGGCGAGCGGGCGGTGCTCCGCGACGCGGGCGCCGCCGAATTCTCGCGGCTGCGGAAGAACGCGTTCCCCTACGCGGACAGCCACGGCCTCGGCGTCACGTCCGGCGGCGTCGCCGAGGCCGTGGCGGACGACGGCGGCGCGGCGCCGAAGAGCCTCGCCTACGAGCTCGGGAACCTCCACGTCGTCGACGGCGGCGCGAAGCTCGGCAACTGGTGGGACTCGGCGTCCTGCGGCCGAGACGCTTTGGGGTGGGAAAACAATGAGACATCGTCACCGCCATGCTTCATAGGTGGAACAGCGACTTCGAGAAGAACTTGTCCGAGGTCGTCGCGCTGAACCCGCTGGGCCCGCCGCTCCGGGGCGAGGCCTACCACGACGTCGGCCAGAACCCGCGCGCGGCGTCGTCCATCGGCGCCACGCAGCACACGCAGCTCATGCGCGGCGGCGCCTACTGCTGGCCGCTCCTCCGGCTCGCGTCGCCCGCGCGGACGCGCGTTACCATCCTCGGGGAGCGCGGCGGGCCCGACGCGACGGACGTGGACGTCGACATCTGCACCGTGGGCGCGCACGCCGACGCGTTCCTGCTGGTCCTGGAGTCGTCGTACGTGTCGTCGCCGCCCGTCGTCCGCCTCCTCCAGGACCTCCGGCTCCATCTGATAGACAAGTACGAGGCCAAGGCCATCGACTTCAACCTCATGTCGGCGCCCCTGGGCCACGACGGCGAGTCGACGAACCGCTTCCGCGCGAACCTGGCCGTCGTCGCGGCCCTGCGGAAGGACTGGCCCGTCTACGAGAACCCGCTCACGGGCGAGAAGACGAGCGACGAGGCCGTCAAGAGGGACCTGCCCTGCCCGACCGTCGACGCGAGCCAGGGCAAGGGCAACTTCTTCTACAACAACGACGTCGAGCAGGAGATCGCCATGCGCGGCCGGCCCGCCGTCGCGGCGCTCTACGACTTCAACCGCGTCCCCGGCGCGCGCGCGATCGTCGCGGCCTACCTCGCCGACAAGTTCGGCTTCGCGGACCAGCCCGACGTCAAACCGACCTGCGTCGACGTACCCTTCCCGCGCGTCGGCCACAAGTCCGCCTTCGCGGGCAAGAAGGCGTCGAGGAAGTCCCTCGCCTAGGGCCTTGTTTCTAAAAGTGGACGTTTCTCCGTTTGTTGCAGCCCGAGCTCGAAGTGAGAACCACCACCTACGATGGGCAGCGTGCGGATCCTGCTTCTCGCCGTCGTCCCCGCGGCCCTCGCGCAGCGGGCCCTGCTCACGGACGCGGTCGACGCCCTCGAGGCGCGCATCGCGGCCCTGGAGGCGCGCCTCGCGCCGCCGGACCCCTGCGACTCCCAGCTCCTGGACCTGAGCGGCGCCCTCGCCTGGACCTATAGCGGCTGCAACCGGAACGTGCACCGGAACACGACCCAGTCCGTCGAGACCTGCCAGAACGGCACGGTCGCCGTCTACAACGTTTCTCGTGCCCTCTTCGACATCAAGATCTCGCACCCGCCGGACGCGTGGCACTTTGTGTGCGGGACGGCCGTCGACAGGCCCAAGGTCGCGACGTGCACGCTGACCTACGAGGAGCCCGCGCGGCCCGAGGGCCCGGCCTGGGTCGAGATCCGCTTCGACGACGTCCACTTCGACGGCGAGAAGTGCGCGCCGTCGAAGGCGACGATCGTCGGCACCTACTTCTACGACTACCTGACCTCCGACGCCGGGGTCTACGTCTTCGACGCCGTCGTCGCCGCCCAGTAGGGAGCCAAGGCGACGCGGCGGTTCAATAAACCCAAATTAGCCAAACCTCCTAGCGCCCCGCGACCGCGACCGCGACGACGGCGGCCGCGGCCGCGGCCGCGACCGCGCGCGCGAGCTTGACCAGGCCCGCGCGGCGGTCGCGGGCGGCCCAGCGCGCGACCTTCGCCGCGTCCGCCGATGCGTCCGCGCCGCGGGCGAGCCTCCGAACCAGACCGTCGCTGACGACCTTCGCCAGGGCCATGGTCGTGATCATGGGGTTGACGCCCGACGCCGTCGGGAAGAGCGACGCGTCGACGACGTAGAGGCCCGGCAGCTCCCAGGACTCGCCGGCGGCGTCGACGACGGAGTCGCGCGGCGAGCGCCCCATGCGGCACGTGCCCATCTGGTGCGCCGAGAGGAGCCTGGGCAGGACAAGAGTGCGAAATTCCCAACTTCAAAGGCTCCTAGCTCGGCCGGTTTCCACTCGTTTCGGCTGATTTTTGGACGAGCGATCATCTCTCGGAACGGTCTCGAAGCGTGGATGCTTTTTCTAGAACGCGCGCGCGCGGAACACTCACGTTGAAGCGACGTTGAATCACCCTTTTGCTGCCCTGAGAGGAGCGTCGACCGGTTGTCCGACGCGAGGCCCCGCGCGCGGACCTCGGCCGCCCAGGCGTCGACGCGCTCGTCGCGCTCGGCGCCGTCGCGGCCCGCGAGGTCCGCCGTCGGCGGCGCCGCGGTGTGCATCGACGCGATTCGGGTCGCGCCCGCGGCCGCGAGCACGCGGCCGCAGGTCACGAGGGCCTCGGTCATGCTCGCGGCGTCGCGCGGGTCCAGCGCGTAGTCGACCAATGGCTCGCGGTCGCCGGCGCTCAGGCGCACGCGGCCCTCGCCGACGTCGCGCTGCAGGACGAGCGCGGACACGAGATGCGACGCGCCGTAGACGAGCTCGCGGCAGTCGCGCGCGCCGAGCCAGGGGCAGGCCGTCAGCGCGATGCCGAGGCCGCTGTGGGGCACCTCGATGAGCGCGCCGTAGCCGTCGCCCTTCGGACCGGAGACGTGGGCCTCGCACGCCGCCGTCATGGGCGCGCCGTCGCCGATGGCCAGCAGCCCGCTCGCCGACAGGGCGCGCGCGTCGACGCCGTCGAAGCGCGACGCGCAGGGCGTCACGGGGTGCAGGCGGAGGTGGCGGCCCACGTGGTCGTTCGGAAACCCGCCGGGCGTCCGCAGCAGGATCGCGGGCGTGTTCAGCGACCCGCCGCTGAGCACGACGGCCTTCGTCGCCCGCACGTCCCGCGCGACGCCGCCGCGGGTGCAGCGCACGCCGACGCAGCGGCCGCCCGCGCGGAGCACGTGGTCGACCTTGACGCCGTCGGCGAAGAAGCAGCGGCCCGTCTCCGCCGCGTCGCGGAGCCACGTCATCGGCGTCGACATCTTGTTCCCGAAGCGGTCCCCGTAGGCGACGTAGGCCGCGGACTCGTCGGTCCGGTCGAGGTTCTGGGGCAGGACCCGGCAGGGGAGTTTCAAAGCCGCGGACCCGCGCAGAATCGCCCTGTTGCCGAAGTCGTGCGTCACGCCGGCGTCCGAGACGCCGAGCCGCGCGCAGACGGCGTCGAGCGCGCCGTCGAAGGGCGTCGCGCCGTCCGCGCGCGCGCAGCACGGCACGCCCAGCGCCGCCCAGTCGTCCTGGACGCGCCGCGGCGTCCGCAGCGAGCACGCCCAGTTGATCGTGCTCCCGCCGCCGAAGGCGGACCCCGCGAGGATGCCCAGCGACCCGTCGGTCGTCGCGACGAGGGCCGACCGCTCGTAGAGCTTCTCGAAGGCCGGCCCCTCGCGGCCGTCGAAGTCGTCGCCCTGGAGGAGCGGCGCCTTCTCCAAGACGAGCACCCGGTGGCCCGCCGCGCTCAGCGTCGCCGCCGCGACGCCGCCGCCGCAGCCCGACCCGACGACGACGACGTCGTAGGCCTCGTCGAGGCGGCCCCGGGGCCAGGCGTAGGTCGCCTTCGCCGGCGCGGGCGCGTCGAAGAGCGCCGGAGGCGGGCCCCGCCAGCCCGCGGCGACGTGCACCGCGTTGCGCCCGACGCCGTCGTCGACGGCGAGGGCCGCGACGCCGCCGCAGAGCCGCTTGAGGGCGTTGAAGGCCTTGCGGCGGAGCGGCAGCCTCGAGGCGGCCATGCCGAGGAGGTCCGCCTCGCGGGCCGCGAGCGACCGGTCCGGGAACGCGGCGACCCCGGAGCCCGCGAGCAGCGCCGTGCCGACGCGCGAGCCGAGGAGCGCCAGGAGCAGGCGCAGCTCGCCGCGCTCGCCCAGCGTGAGCCGGTTCAGGGACCGCTCGAAGGCGGCGCGCACCGTCTCGGACCAGCCGCCGGCCATGAGCGCCGCGAGCCGCTCCGGCGACGGGTCGGCGTCGCCGCAGGCGCGCGCGACGTCGAGCGCCTCGTCTCTCGAGACGGGCGGGATGAGCGCCGTGACGAGGCTCTCGACGACTGTGGCTTCCGCGGGCGTGAGCTTGATCATGGTCGAGGCTGCCATTGCCTCGGCGCGTCTCTAAACGTAGAGTCGGAGCTCTCAGGCGGCCATTGCCACAAGAGCTCCGATCGCAAAAAATCTTTGAGAGGTCGACGATGCTGCCGTCTGTGCTGTGATTCGTCTGAGCTGGGCAGCAGGCTCCTTCTCACCTCGCCCGCCGTCATGACCATGGCGTGGGTGCGCGTGCCGCGGCGCGAAGTGCTGCTGACCGGGCTGAGATTGCTGCTGGGCATCGTGCCCACGGTCATCATGCGCCAGCACATCCCACTCCGCGTCCTCGAGCTCGAGCACGGCGACGACGACGCGGCGGCGAGGGTCACGTCGCGCATCTCCGTCGCCGCGGCGGCCTGCGGCCTGCTGAGCATCTGCCTGCTGACGACGGCGTCGGACGCCGTGGGCCGGCGCGGGGCCCTCTGCGCCGTGCAGCTCGGCTGGGTCCTCGACGGCGCGGCGCGGCGCCCGGACGCGCGTGTCCGCGCGGCGCGCGCGCGGAAGGACGGCCGCTCTCGTAGGCGCGTGCTGCGCGCTCGCGCCGAACTCGCGCCTCCTCTTGCTGGGCCACGGCGCCGCGTCGCTGCTGGGCAGCCCCTGGTCGCTGCTGGCGCTGAGCTTCGCGGCCCTCGCGGACACGAAGGACGACGGCGCCGACGCGAGGGAGACGGCGCTCGATTTCGCCTTCGTCGAGTCCATGGTCTTCCTCGCGGTCGTCGCGTCGCCCGCGGGCGCGGGCTACGTCGCGGGGACCTACGGCGAGCGCGCGGCCTTTGCGCTCGCCGCGGCCGTCGGGTTGGTCAGCCTCTTGGTCCACGCGACCATGCGCGACGCGACCCAGCGCGCCGGGCGGCGGGACTGGGTCGCCTACACGCCCGTCGGCGGCCTCCGCTACTTCTGCCGCGACGCCCACCACGGCCTGATCGGTTTGTGCTGCTTCCTGCACTGGACAGGCATGCGCGCGCCCGGCGTCCGCGCGCGCGAGTTTCGCGGGACGTGTTCCCGCGCAGGCGGGGCTTCGAGTTCCTCCTCCCGCTGGAGATGGCGCGGCTCTTCGGCTGGGGCGCCGCGACGCAGGGCTACGTGCAGTCGACGATCTCCGCGCTCGGCTTCCTGAGCTCGAACCTGCTCATGAACGGCGTCTCCGGCGGGTCCTACGAGCTCGTCGCCAAGTTCGCGTCCGTCGGCGCGCTGGGCACGGCGATCGCGGCCCTGTCGGGCCTCGCGCCGACGGCGCTCGCGCGACAGGCGCTCTTCGTCGGCGGGTGCGTCGTCTACGCGACGGAGGTGCCCGCGTCGCCGGCGATCCGCGGCGCCATCGTCGACGCGCGCGAGCCGGGCGGGCCGGGCCTCGGCGAGATCCTCGGCGCGGCGGCGCTCGTGGAGGGACTGACGGCCTTGGTCGCCGCCGCGGCCTACGGCGAGATCATCGACGCGCTGCCTGCGACGGCGCCCTATGCGCCCGCGTCGCTCTGCCTCCTCCTCGCGGCCCCCGTCGCGCTCCTGGCGAAGCGCGCCAAGGCCGCGGGCGCCAAGGACGACTACCGGCCCCTCGCGGCGGGGGAGCCCGCGCTGAACGCGTAAAAGGGGACATTGAGGCCTACGGCGCGTCGCCCTGCACTTTGCAGTCAACCTCAGGCAGGAGCTCTCCATTGAGCTCTCCGTCGCCCCGTCGCCGCGCTCACCGCAGCGCGCAGCGCGACACCATGGGCGAGCGCATGGGCCCGAACACGGTCGCGGCGTTCCACGCCGGCGCCGACTTCATGCGCGACCAGGAGGCGGACGATGAATCCTCCGACGACGACGCCTACCTCGACGACGCGGCGCTGGCCCAGTTCCGCGACGTGCGCGTCGCGGAGATCAGCGCGAGCCGCGAGGCCGCCGCGCGGGCCGCGCGCCGCATCGAGCGCATCGCGAAGGACGACTGGCGGCATCGGGTCGTCGACGCGTCCGAGGGCCGCTGGGTGCTCGTGCACCTCCACGACGAAAACAACGCGCTCTGCGAGGCGACGCTCGAGGCGCTCGAGCAGCTGCCGCCGGCGGTCGTGGCAGGCGTCGACGTGCTGCAGATCCCCGCGGAGCACGCGATGCCGCGGTCGCAGTTCCACCTCCTGCCGGCCATCTTCGGCTACCGCGGCGGCGCCCTCGCCGCGCGGCTCATCGGCGCGGAGCTCCTCCGCGACGCGCGCGCGGCGCCGACGGCGCACGAGCTCGAGTTCAAGCTCGCGCAGCTCGGCATCGTCGAGTCCGCGCTCCTGTCGAAGGAGACGCAGCGCGACTCGGCCCTCTCCGACGACGACGACGACGACTAACTTGAGAAGGGACGTAAAACTCGGGCGGGGAAGCGGGGGCGGTCGCGGGCGTCCTACATGGTGAGGCCCTCGCCGAAGTTGAAGGCGAGGCCCGTGCCGGCCATCTTCTGCGCGTAGACCGCGTCGAAGAGGTTGGACTGCGTCACGGTGAAGTAGTCGCGCCAGCCGCCGACGCCGCCCTTGCGGAGGTGGTTCATGCCGATGTTCGCCTTCTTGTTGGCCTGCATGGACTTCATCGTCGAGTTCGCGACGGTCTTGGCCACGACGTCGCCCGCGTCGGGGAGGCCGAGGAACGCCGCGATCTTGGCGACGGAGCCCGCGTGGTCGTCGATCATGGCCTCGTAGGTGAGCCAGAGCACGTGGTCCGGGTCCGCCCTGGACGCGGCGTGCCACTCGACGACGTGCTTGAACCAGGAGCCGTTCTCCGCGTTGCCGGACAGGAAGACCTTGAGGAACGTCGTGAAGTCGCCCTTGTAGCCGAACTCGGGTTTCGACGACGCGTGGTGGAAGAGGCTCACGACCGTGTCCTTGGGGTTGCGCGCGATGGCGATGACCTTGACGCCCGGCGCCTTGCCCCGCGGCAGGTCGCCGAAGGTCGCGTGGCTCTTGAAGAAGCGCGGGTCCGCCATCGCGTCGATGGACTCGAGCGTGTAGCCCGGCGCCTCGCGCTCGGCCAAGGTCTCCGGCGCGGCGAGGGCCTCGAGCCAGGGCACCTGCTCGCCGTAGGACTTGTCGCCCTGCTCGCCGCCGTTGCAGAGCAGCGTGACGATCTGCTGCGCCCACGTCGTCCCCGCCTTCACGTACGTGCAGATGAAGACGTCCGTGTCCCGCGTCTCGAAGGTGTCGATCATCGACTCGAACATCTTGACGTCGAAGAGCGGGTTCTGCGGCACGCCGCGCACCTTCGTCATGATGTAGCCCACGGGCGCCGCCTCGACGGGCTCGAAGAGGTCGGCGCAGGCCGGCTCCTCGTAGGCCTTGGAGCTGTCGGCGCCCATCGTCGCTGCGAACGGCGGCGCGCGACGGCCGCGCCGCGGTGGCAAGAGGCGGCGACGACGACGCGGCGGCGACGGTCACCGCGGAGCCCGGCGCAACAGGCTGCGACGACCGCGCGGTGACGAGCTGTGTCACCGATGGCGCGGAGGTCGGATCGGCAAGATTGTGTGAGGGGAAGTTTGACGGCAACATAGGTGGAGGGAGGCGGGGACGCGGTCCGGACCTAGGGCTCCCCCGGCGCTGAAGAGGCCGCCGCCGCCGCGGTGCCGCCTTCGAGGAGCGCGACGACGCGCGCGTGGTTCGGGCCGCGGGCCGTGCGCGCGAGCGAGAGCGCCGTCGCGCCCGGCGGCGCGTCGAAGAAGGCGCGCGTCGAGCGGATCGACGCGTCGGCGCCGTGGCCCAGGAGGAGCTCGACGACGCCCGTCTCGCCGTTGGCCGACGCGACGTGCAGGGGCGTGAAGCCGTAGGCCGTCGCGCCGCGGTCCGCGTCCGCGCCGTTGGCCAGGAGCAGGACGAGGCACGCCTCGTGGCCCTCGGCGGCGGCGCTGAAGGCGGCCGTGTGGCCCGCGGCGTCGGCCGCGTCCGCGTCGGCGCCGGCGGCGAGCAGCAGCGCGAGCGCCTCGGCGTCGCCCCTGGCGCAGGCCGCGTGCGCGCAGGTCCTGCCGCAGTCGAAGGACATGGGCATGTTGACGTCCGCGCCGGCCGCCAATAGCTGTCGGATCAGCGACGCGTTGCCCCGGTCCACGGCGACGGCGAGCGGGAACGCGCCCTGCGCGCTCGTCGCGTTGACGTCGACGCCGTGCGCGAGGAGGACCGCGACGCAGGCCTCGCTGCCGGCGTCGACGGCCGTGAGGAGGAGGCCCTCGCCGTGCGACACGCTCTCGACGCGGCATCCGGCCGCGAGCAGGAGCCTCAGCGAGGCCGTGTCGCCGTGGGCCGCGGCGAACACCGCCGGCGACGGGCCGCCGCTCGGGTGTTGCGAGTCGAAGTCGAAGCCGTGCTCCAGGAGCAGCGCGATCATGTCCGCGTCGTGCGCGCACGCCGCCGTGACCATCGGCCACGCCGACGCGCGGAGCGCCGCGCCCGTGGCGGACGCGGGCGGATGCGCCGCGAGGATCAGCTTCGCGTCGTCGATGTTCTTACCGACCTTCGTGCTGTTGATCAGGGAGTTCAGCTGTTTGACGATGTCGCTTTCCGGAAGGAAGGGATCCATCAATTGCGTCGTCGGCGTCTCACCATCGGCGAAGGAGTCCATATTGTGAGTCGCTCGGGGTGAGCAGATCAGTGAGTCGCGCGGGGCGAGCAGATCAGTAGATGATCAGTGGCAAGACCCAGGCTCGCCAAAATTTTTGCCAAAGCAGGCGCTGTTGCGAGCAAGACAACTCTTGAGGGGCGTCGCTTGTGGACGCGTAGTCCATCGTTGGCCGTTGTCGAGCGTGGACGGGGCAACTCTACCCGCGCCAAGAATCGCACGCGATGACGCCTCGCGACGACATCGACTTCTCCGACAACTACAGCTCGGACTCCATCGAGTCGGGCCTCGAGGAGATCATCACCGAGAGCCGGTCGAACGGCTCGGACTCCATCGAGTCGGGCCTCGAGGAGATCATCACCGAGAGCCGGTCGAACGGCCGGAGCGTGACCTGGGACGACGACCCCCGCGACGACGAGGGGTCCGACGTCCCCGCAATGCTCGCGGCGACGGAGGCGCGCGTCGACCGCGCGGAGGCCGCCGCGGAGTACGCCGAGGGCCTCGCGGCGGAGACGGCCTTCGCGATGGAGCGGACGCTCGCGCTCGCGCAGAAGCGCCTCGACGACGCGGGCCTCGAGCTCTACCGCGCCCAGGAGACGCTCGCGTCCGAGCGCGAGGCCTGGCGCGCGGAGAAGCGCGCCCTGCTCGAGGACCTCGTGCGCGCGCGCGAGGACGCGCTCGTCGCCGTGCGGGCGGCGGCCGACGCGCGCCGCGCGGCCGCGGCCGCGGCGCCGCCGCCCGGATCGGCGCAGAAGGACCTCGACGACGCCATCGCGCGCCTGTCGCTGCTCCAGTGGCTCGACGACCCGGCCTGGCGCGACCTGCGGCCCGCGGCGGAGACGCCCGCGCCGGCGGACGCGGCGCCCGCGCCAACGTACGCGACGCCCGCGCCGGCGGCGACGACGCCCGCGCCGCGCCGCGGCGACTGGAGCGACGCGCGGGCGCCGGCGGCGACGACGCCCGCGCCGGCGGCGGACACGCCCGCGCCGCGCCGCGGCGGCTGGAGCGACGCGCGGGCAGCGCCGGAGACGCCGCCGCCGCTCGAAGCCGACCCGAGCCGCAGCCTCGAGTCCCTCGTCGAGGAGGTCAAGCGGTGCGCCGCGAAGCTCTCGCGCCAGTCCGAGTCGCCCCTCAGCGACGCCGCGCCGGGGGCCTATTAGCCACCTATCGCGTGAAGACCAGAAGCCGGTTGTTCGCGGGCATGGGCACGACGTCGGCGAGGGCGTAGCCGTGGGCCTCGGCGCGCGCGGCGACGTCCGCCGTGTCGCGGACGCCCCAGGCCTCGTCCTGCGCCCGGAGCCGCGCGTCGAAGGCCTCGTTGGACTCGGAGACGTGCGCGCCGCCGACGGCGAAGGGCCCGTAGGCGAAGAGCGTCGCGCCCGCGGCGGCGGAGCCGCGCAGGATGCCCTCGGCGACGGCCCAGGGCGCGATGTGCATCACGTTGCAGCAGACGACCGCGTCGAAGGCGCCGGCCGCGGCCCAGGGGTCCGCCGCCGCGTCGAGGGCGAGCGGTTCGAGGACGTTGTCGAGGCCGTGGGCGTGCGCCTCGATGGACGCGAAGACCGCGGCCAGGTCGCCGTAGGGCGGCGCCTCGGGGCCCGGCGACCCGCCGGCGTACTCGGTGGGCTGGAACGACACGCGCGGGAACGTTCGGGCGAAGTGCGCGACGTGCTGCCCGGAGCCGCTCGCGATCTCGAGGCAGCGCGCCTCGGCGCCGCTCGCGAACGGCTCGTAGCGCGCGAGCACCTCCGCGATGGGCTGCTTGTTGCGCTCCGCCGAGGGAGACACGATCATGCTCCGCGACCGCCGCCAGGAGTACCAGGCCGCCACCAATGGCTTCAGGAGCATGTAATCGTTGCCGCGAAGCCTCGGAGACGGTCGACTGTGGTCTCAGAGACGCGCAAGGGCGTCCATGCCTTGATTGAGCCAGTGGTTTCTACCTCTCCGTTCAAGAAAAATAAAATGTTTGGGAATTGAAATTGCGCCTCAATATTATTATTATTATTGGTGATTTAGCGTCGGAGGAGCCGCATGCCCAAGAGCACACACGGCCTGTAGGCCTCGGACGGAAGAAGTTGAAGTAGGTGGGGCAGCTGCCCCCCAGCAGGGGCCGAAGGCCCACGGGGGGAGGATCAGCCTCCCCGGCGCCACAAGTGGCGAAGCCCCGAAGGGCGAGAAAAATAATCAATATGGTGCATGTTCTCCAAGTGCGGGCCATCCAGCCGCACGAAGCGTGAGCCAAGGAATCTGACCGTCTAATTTTTTCGCGAATCGACTTCGATACGGCTGAGAACGGCTCCCCTGCGCCCAGGAGCGCCGTCCATAAGCTACCCTGGCCAAAAAAACAACGTTTTGCCCCCGCGACCGCCGAAGCCCGGTACATCGACGCGATAGAGCTGAGCTTCGGCAGCTTCTGCAGCGCAATGGGCCGCCTCTCAGGGTCTTCGGACGTCGACACGCCCTTCAAAGCTCGAGTCTCGCGGGAGTTTCAACGTCGTGGCGGCGCGGACACGCGCGGTGCGGCGGCTCAGACGGCGCGAGCGTTTGACATGCGCGACAGCGGCGCGGCGTCGCGCGTGAAGCGGTACGACGAGGAGATTCGGACCAACGACGCGCGGCGGAAGACTGGGGGTGTCGTTCGGTACCTCCTCGGCGCGTCTAGGGCTCCTACAATGTCCGTATTCCCCAAACATTTTATTTTTCTTGAACGGAGAGGTAGTGGTTGAGGTAAATTTGTAAAACTTGACTCGCCGAATCGGCATGGCTGCGACTCTCCGATAGGCCGTAGCAACCAGCAAATAACACCATGACCACCGCCACCATGGAATCCAAGAGCTCCGGCAACGAAAAAACCCAGCTCCTCGAGCGCATCGCCCGGGAGCGCGCCGCGGCGGACCGCGAGCGGTCCGGGTCCCGGCCGCCCCAGCAACCAGCCCCGCGGCGCAGCAAGCGCCTCCAGACGTCGCGGCTCACGCCCGTGCTCGTGATCCTGCTCTACGTCGCCACGTCGGCGGCCAACGCGCTGACCTTCAAGCGCATGACGGACGTCTACGCCGACGCGGAGTTCTTCGCGAGCCAGTGGAACGTGCTCCTCTACACGGCGATGGCGCTCTTCGTCGTCGCCAGCAAGGCCTACCGCGAGCCGACCTTCCTCAAGACGCAGCGCGCCTGCTTCGGCTGGCACCAGATCGTCATCATGGCCATGCTCGACAGCGTGTCCAGCGTCTGCTCGACGATCGGCGGCGCGAACACCGCCGGCGCCGTCCAGAACCTCATCAACCAGACGCTCATCCCCATGACTTTAGTCATGTCCGCGGGCTGCCTCGGGAGCACCTACTCGCCGCGCCAGATCTCCGGCGCGGCGATCATCCTCGCGGGCGCGTGCTGGGCCGTGTCGTCCGCGGGCGGCAAGGGCGACGCGTCGACGACGTGGGCGGGCGCGCTCGTCTTCACGGTGGGCATCCTGCCGAGCGCCTACAGCAACGTCTACAAGGAGGGCGTCTTCAACCTGAGCGTCAAGGCGCGCGCGGCGGACGTCTTCTACCTCACGACGGTGATCTCGGGCCTGCAGGTCTTCCTCGGGTTCCTCATGGTGCCGTTGCTGCCCCTGCCCGCCTTCGGCGGCACGCCCCTGGGCGACGTGCTCCCGCAGCTCGGCCGGGGCTTCGCCTGCTTCGCGCCCACGGGCGTCTGGGCGCGCGACTCGTCGCCCATCCGCGAGGCCCTGTTCGGCGACGACGACAAATACGACGCGTACGCGGACCGGCTCTTCGCGCCGAAGCCGCCGTCCCACGACCTCTGCGACGAGGGCTTCGTGGCCATGATGGCCTACGTATTGGTCAACTTTGGCTACAACATTTTGCAGCTGCTCATCTGCCAGCACTCGTCCGCGGCGACGTTGGTCATGGCGACGGCGCTCGCGCTGCCGGCGACGTCGCTCATGTTCTCGTCGAAGCGGCTCGTGGGCCGCGACGCCATGCCCTACGGGCGGTCGGACCTCGTCGGCCTCCTCGTCGTCGTCGTCGGCTTCGTCGTCTACTCCGCGGCGAACCCGGACGAGGACGGCGTCATGCCGCCGCAGGCCGCCGCGGGGTCGACGATCTACGTGCGCCGCCCGCGCGCGGACAGCGACCCGCCGACGCCCGCCGTGCTCCGCGCCTCCGACGCCCGCGGCCTCTCCCCGGGCATGCCGCGCCGCGCGCGGGCGACGTCCTTCGACACGCGGCACCACGTCTCCAGCCCGGGCGACCTCATCACGCTCGAGCTCAAGCGAGGCGCGCCGCCGAAGGGCGACGACGCCAACGTGTAACGTGTGTCGCTTCGACGTTAGGTTCGTGGTGTTCGCCGCCGACGGGCGCCACCGCGCCACGTCCGCCGCCGCCCGTCGATCCGGCGGACCGCGCGCTTCGCGCGTTACGTCCGCCGCCACCAGTCGATCCAGCGGACCGCGCTCTTCGTCGCCGCGAGGGACTCGGCGAACGCGTCGACGAGGGCCTGCTGCTTCTCGTAGAGCGCGAAGCCGTCCCCCTCCCCCTCGAGCGCGGCCTCCGCGTACTCACGGCAGCGGCCCTTCGCGTCGTCCGTTGCCGACGCGCGGACGGCGACGTGGAGGTGGTGCATGGCGAGGTCGAGCGCGTTCGGCCGCCGGTCGGGGTCGCCGACGGCCGCGTCGGGGAAGAGCGGCCACGCGAGCCCCGCGGCGACGCGCGATATGGCCCGCCGCATGAGGGCGACCTGCTCGGAGTCGACGCGCGACAGAATCTCCGCGAGGCGCGGCAGCTCCCGGACGTCCAAAATGATCGACGTCGCGCCCTGAGAAGGCCAGTTCCAGGGCCAGACGTCGCGCTGGTCCTTGGCGCTGACGTAGCTGTGGCTCCGGGGCTCCGACGACGACAGCACGGGGATCGCGCCGGCCAAGAGGCTGTCGACGATGCCCTTGCGGACCGCGCTGTGGCCGCAGGGCTGGAGCGCGAAGGTCGAGTTGCGGTAGGCCGCCTCGTAGTAGCCCGCCGCGGGCAGGGACAGGCGGCAGGCGTCCCAGGCGTCGCAGGCGTCGTGGAACGCCTCGCGCGCGCCCGACGGGTCCGTGAGCGCGTCCTTGTCCCAGACCGAGAAGAAGCCCGACGCGAGCCAGCGCCGGTCGCCGGCCCCGAACCAGGCGTCGCCCCAGGTCTTCGAAGAGGCGTAGGGGAGGAAGCTCTGGTAGGGCAGCGGGTGGACGCTCGCGCAGAGGCGGTTGAAGTCGTACTGCGACTCGAGCACGAGGCGCTGCGCGCCGCGGAACCCGCTCCACCGGTAGGCGCAGTCCTCGAGCGCGCCGTACTGCTCGAGCTGGCGCAGCTGGTCCTTCTTCTTGCGGTCGCCGGCGAGGTGCCAGGCGCGGCCCACGACGAAGAAGTGGTCGCGGCGCCCGTTGCGCCGGAGGTACGACGTCGCGCCGTCGTGGAACGTCCGCAGGTGGTCGCGCCAGATCGGGCCGACGGCGCGGCACCACTGCTCCCGCGTGAGCTTCTGGCGCTGGAGCGTCGTGTCGATGAAGTGGTCCGGGATGAAGAAGAGGTCCGCTTCCTTCGGGTCGTCGACGCGGTTTGGATAGTTTTCGAAGAGCGACCGGTGGATCGTCAACCCCAGCGCGTGCTGCGAGAAGCCCGCGTGGACGCAGGACCCGGGGATGGATTCGTCGCAGGGCGCGCCGGCCGTCGCCGCCTTGTAGCGGCCGACGCCCGCGGCCGACGGCCGCCACTCGGAGCCGTGGATATTGCGCGCGGAGCCGTGGCTATCGCGCGCGGACCACGTCTCGTTCCGGCGGTTCTCGCCCATGAGGCCGCCGGCGAAGTCGAAGTAGGACGCGTTCGGGGGCAGCTTCTTGACGCCCGGGACCGCCGAGAGCACGGCGCGCATGTCCGCGAACGCGGGCGGGAACGGGTAGACGAAGACGCGCGGCAGGTCCAGGTCGCCGACGCGGTCGTCCGGGCCGTCGAGCCACGCGCGCACGGCGTCGCGCTCGGCCGCCGTCCAGTTGGGCGAGCCCCGGGGCATGGGCCGCTCGAAGGGCCGGCGCAGCGCCGCGTCCGTCGTCGCGCACCAGCCGTCGCCGAGCTGGTCGCCCGCGCCGCACCACTCGGCCGCGACCCGCGCGACGGCGAGGCCCAGCAGGCGCCTCATGGCGTCATCGCGCGGGGCTGCGTCCGAATATTTTTATCATCGTGGCTTCTTGCAGGCCCCGGGCGGCGGCAACAAGCCATGCTTGCATGTGCAATAATCCGAAGGGAGAAACGCTGCCCCAAAAGTTCCAAGGGCTGGCGGCCGTCCGTCGGCGCCGGCCATGGACTACCTCTGCTGCTCGGAGCAGAGCAGCCGCCTCGACGGCGAGGACTTCCTCGAGACGAAGCTGCGGCGGCACCCGAGCATCGCCGGCGTCGTCGTCTCGGAGCTGGACCCGTCGAGCCCGACGCTCTGCGCGACGACCTGCGCGGGCTACGCGACGCGGCCGCCGTCGGGCCGCGACGACGAGGCCGGCGGCGTGCTGATGGCGCCGGAGCTGTCCTTGCAGGTCGGCGACCTGTCGAAGACCGTCGCCGCGGCCTTTGCGCTCGAGGTCTTCGCGGAGCGGGGGTTCGACGTCGACGCGCCGGCGAACGCGCAGCTCCGGGAGCTCCACAGCGACTTCGTGCTCGGGGGCTCGAACGACGACGCGGCGGGCTGGGCCGAGGACGTCACGCTGGGCCAGCTCTGCGAGCACACGGCGCTCGGGGCCTACTCCGTGCCCGGCATGCGCCCCGGCGAGCTCCCGGGGCCCATGCAGCTGCTCCGGGCCGCGCGCGACTCCAAGCCCATGCTCGTGGACCGGCCGCCGGGCATCGAGTTCAAGTACGGCGATCTGGGCTACCTCGTGCTCGAGATGATCCTCGAGCTGATCCTGCGGCAGCCCGTGCGCTACGCGATCAAGCCGTTCCTGCGGAAGCTCGGGTTGCAGGGCTACACGTTCTACTCCGCGTCCAACGACCAGGTCGACGGCTACGCGGACGACGGCGGGCGCGTCGAGCCCCACGGGGGCCTGGTCTACCCGCCGCTCGCGACGGGCGGCCGCTGCCCGGCGCCCGTCTACGCGCACTTCCTCTGGCACCTCGCCCGGGCCTACGCCGTCGACGACGACGCGGCGCCCATCTCGCGGGCCACGGCGGCGCGCATGCTCGGCGAGAGCCACCTCGTCGACGGCGGCGCCGTCGACGACCTCGGCGCGCGCGCGGGGCTCGGCGTCTTCGTCCTCGACTGCGGGCCCAACAAGGTCATGGCGCACCAGGCGGCGACGGAGGGCTTCCGCGGCATCTACGTCGTCTGCTTCGACGGCCCCGCGGCGGCCAGCGGGCCGTCGGGCTTCGTCGTCCTCGCGAACGGCGACGAGCAGGCGTCCTTCCTCCTCGCCGACGTCTGCCAGTCCATGCTCCGCAAGCTCGACTGGGACGGCCTCGACCTCAGCAAACTGGAGAACCCGGCCTACGCGGCGGACATGATCAAGCACACGCCCAAGGAGCTCGTCGCCAACACGTCCTACAAGGAGCTCGTCTTCAAGGCCTTCGCCCCGGCCTCGGCGGCCTGAGGTGGAGGCGGCGCGGGAGACGCGTAAGCAGCTGCAGGCGGGTGCGTGCCCTGCACTTGCAGGCAAGTTGACCAAGACTTTGCATCGAGACCTTCGGCATGACGAGGACGCAGCTCGCACGGCCGTCATCGATGTCCGCCGTCGTCCGCCTCGTCACATCTCTCGCACGGCCGTCATCGATGTGCGCCATATTCCGCCTCGTCGCCGTCGCCGCCCTGACGGCGGCGCTCCAGCAGCCGCAGCCGTTCTGGCCGCCGGCGGCGACGCGGGACTGCGCGCGCTGCCGGCCCCTGGGCATGGGCGAGTTCGGCGGCGCCCCCGCGCTCTTCCTCGCGTACCGCGGCGGCGGCGACCGCGCGCTGGCCGTGGCCGTGGGCCGCGACGCGGCGCTCGCCATGGAGCGCGCCTGCCGCGGCGAGGCCGTGGGCAAGGTCGCCACGCTCAGCGTCGCGCAGGGCCTCGTGAACCGCGACGGCGGCGTCTTCGACAACCTCCCGTACGAGCTGGCGCCGACGGCCTTCGCGAAGAAGGATCTCTTCGACCGCGTCAAGGGCAAGGACTGGCCCGGCCGCTCCCTGACGCCGGGCAACGTCGTCGACGGGCTGCTCGAGCGCTGGGGCGCCGCGCCCCGCGACCGGGGCGACGACGGCGGCGGCGGCGATATCGCGCCGCCGTACCGCGGCGCCTACGGGTTCCGGCCCGCGGAGGAGTCTGAGGCGGACCGCGCCTTCGCGGGCTACGCGAGCCCCTACGCGCTCCTCCTCGAGGCCATCGGGGACATGCTGAACTGCGACGTCGCGGAGGTGCTCTTGGAAGACGCGTGCCCGCTCGACGACGTCTTCGAGCTCGCGGGCGCCGTCAAGCTCGTGGAGCGGGGCGGCGGCGGCGTTCACGTCGTCGACTGCTACGCCGACGAGGCGCTCGGCCTCGCCCTGGCCGCGCAGTGCGCCGTCCACGCGGGCCGCGACGTCGTCGACGCGTGCGGCGTCGCGCCGACTTTTGGCCTCGAGCGGCGCACGGCCGTCGCGCCGCTGAAGCTCCGGCTCCGCGCGGACGACGACCGGCCGCGCGCGTCGGCCTCGGACCGCGGCGGCGCCAAGCCCGAGGAGGTCCGGTCGGGCGCCGACTACGAGGCGCTGTCCGTCGACGACAAACTCCGGTGCCTCCTGGCGTCCGACGAGTTCGAGCGGCGGCGGGAAACGCTGCCGCGGCCGCGGGCCCTCGCGGACGACGCCGACGGCCCCGTGGACGCGCTGCTGCTGCCGCTCGTCGACGAGATCGTACGGCGCGAGGTCCGCATCGAAGCGGCGCTCCGCGACGGCGACGTCGGCGGCGCCGCGCGGTTGATCGCGGGCAAGTCGGACCGCCACAAGGCCCGCGACCGCGCCCGGGCCGCGTCGGCCGGCGGCGACCTGGCCGCGGAGGCGTCCGCGCGCACCGAGGACGCCATCCTCACGGCGATCCGCGCGGACGTCACGCAGGAGCCCGGGAGCTACGACCCCTACCTGGACCAGGACCGCTGGTACGAGGAGCAGCGGCGCCGGCTCTCCTAAGGCTCGTTATCGCGGTGGTGGCGCGCGGCGAGCGCAGGCGCGCAGCCCGGCCCGCCGGCGATCTCCAGGCAGCTCGTCCGCGGGAGGATCGCCAGCACGTTGAGCGCGCACGAGTAGACGATGCCCACGGCCACGAGGATGACGGAGAACCAGGCGTAGCGGTCCCGCCGCTCCCAGGTCGCCTTGCGCTCCTGCGCCTCGGCCTTCTGGTCCGGCAGCAGCGGCAGCGTGAGGCACGAGAGGAACGTGAACCCGTAGCTCACGACGAACGACAGCGCGACGACGTCGCGGAAGCGGGCCGAGTCCTCGACGTAGTTGTCCCGGAGCGACAGCGACGGCGTGAAGAGGCCGAAGAGCTGGTTCGAGATGGCCTGCGCGAAGGGCGTGCCGATGTTGTACGTCGTCGTCAGGAGCCCGTAGACGATGCCCTCGTCGCCGCCGTCGGCCATCTCGACGATGACGAACGTGGACACGACGAAGTTGATTGCCGCGGGGATCTCCGTGAGCACGGCCTCGCCGAGGTAGAAGTACTGGTTCCGCACGACGCCGTAGATCGTGCAGAAGGAGAACGGCATGTCGACGACGTTCAGGAACACGGACGTCACGAGCACCATGCACCGCCAGCTCTTGTGCAGCAGGCGCCGCTTCACGAGCAGGAGGCCGAACGTGAACAGCACGAGCCCCACGAGCGAGAACGTCGCGTTCTGGAGCGCCTTGACGCCCGCCCACTCCTGCTTGACCTCGGGCCCCGCCGTCGTGAAGATGGACCCGACGAGCGGCGTCAGGAACTGGTAGAGCACGCAGTAGAACATGGCCTTGGACCGCAGCAGGCTCCAGACGGACCGGCGGTACTGCGAAAAGGTCACCGTCGCCTTGACGCGCGCCGTCAGGTTCGGCGTCGCCTCCACGGGCAGCGCGCGCGGCTCCGCCCGCGGCTCGCGGACGTAGCAAAAGGACACGGGCACCATCGCCGTCGCGACGGCCGCGAACGCCGCGGCGACGCCGTTGAGCGACAGCCCCCGGTCGAAGGACCCGTTGTACATCCAGCCGTTCATCGCCAGGCCGACGAAGGCGACGGCCGCGATGTTGCCCACGCTCCGCACGAGGTACACCGACGTCTGCGTGTGGCCCCGGCGCTCCGGGGACTCGCGCCGCGCGAGCGTCACCGTGAGGCCGTCCGCGGCGACGTCGGAGACGCAGTAGCCGAAGCTCGCGACCATCATCCAGAACGCGAAGGGCGCGCCCGCGACCGCCGCCGCCGGGTTGCAGGGCTCGGCGGCCTTGACGCCCCGCGCCGTCGCGATTTCCGTGACGTAGGCGCCGTCGCCGACGCACCAGTAGGGCTCGGGCAGCGGCGTCGCGGCCAGCGCCCAGAGGCTCAGCGCGCAGACGACCCAGCCTAAGACGATGTAGGGCCGCCGCCGCTCGCCGCCGATGGGCACGCAGTCGTTGACGGCGCCGAACAGAAACTTGAAGGACCAGGGCAGCGCGACGATCGTCGACGCCGTCGCGTAGACGTAGGCCTCGACGTTGAGGTAGCCGAGGAAGAAGCCGTACATCGTCGACGGCAGGCCGCCGTAGACGACGCCCACGGCGAAGTACTGCGCGTAGAGGCCGAAGCGCAGGCGCCCCTCGCGCGCGGCGCGCGCGCCGTCGCGCGCCGCGGCGCCCGCGCCGGGCTTTGCGGCCGCGACGAGTTTTCGCAGCGACGCGGGCGACGCGCGCGCGTCCGGCGACGCGACGGCGTCGAAGGACCGCGCGCGGGACCGCGGCGACTGGAGCAGCGGGCTCGCCTCGCCGTCGCGCGACCGCCAGCGCTGCAGCACGGACGCGAGGCGCGCCGGCGACCAGGTCGGCGCCGCGGGCTGCTGCCGCCGCAGCGCGCCGGACAGGCTCGCCGGCGACTTGCCGCCGATGCGGCTCATCGCTGCGGCGGCCGGCGCTGGACCGGATCCACGTGCGGCCGCGGGCGCTGGGCCGGATCCAACTGCTGCGGCCGCGGGCGCTGGGCCGGATCCAGCTCCAGACCACTGTCCAGACCGCGATTTACGAGCCCTCGCCTCCTGGTAGTTGATGTCAACGTGCCCTCAAGACGCTTAGACACACTCATCAGATCTCATCATCGCCGGAGCTTGGGCTTGGGCTTCTGGATCTGGCTGTCGTCGAGGCCCGCGTCGCGGAGCGCGCGGCGCTCCGAGGGCCGCAGGCCCCGGCGCTTCTTCTCGTTCGGGTCGACGACCGCGACGGGCACGAGGGACGCGTTGTCGTCGACGAGCGGGTTCACGATGACGGGCTTGAGGTGCGCCGCGGGCATCCAGCACTCGACGAACTCCTCGCCGCCGCGCGCCTCGGCGATGGCCTCGTACGTGTGCGTGCCCTTGTAGCTCAGCACCTCGTTCCGACTCAGCTTCAGCCACCTGTCCTTGACGACCTCGACCTCGACGCAGCACCACTTGCCCTTGACGCCGAAGGTGAAGGGCTTGGAGCCGTCGCGGTTCGCCGCGAGGGGGCTCGACTTGACGACGACGCCGGACCTGCGCGCGCGGCCTCGCGAGGACGGTCCTCGGGGGGGGAAACAAAGGACGCCGCGGCCGCGCTCGATCTCGACCTTGTAGTGCAGGCTCACGGCCTTGATCGTCGACCGCGAGTCGAGCTTCGTCGGGTCGACGACGAAGAGCGTCTCCATGTCGACGCCGACGACGTCCCGGATCAGCTCCCGCGGCGCGAAGAGGACGCCGTCGGCGCCTGCGCGAGAAAAGAGAGATTCGACGTCGCTTCAACGTGAGCGTTCCGCGCGCGCGCGCGTTCCGGGAAAAGCATCCACGCTTCGAGGCCGTTCCAAGAGATGGTCGCTCGTCCCAAAATCAGCCGAAACGAGTGGGAAACGGCCGAGAGAGAAGTTGGGCACGTCGCGCTCGTTTCCCGCGCCGGCCGGCGCCCGCGAGGTGCGCGGCCATGGGGTCGATGGCGTCGCGCTTCGGGTTCGCGTTGTAGCTCTTCGCGAAGGCCTTGACCTGCGACGACGGCGTCGCGCGGGTGCGCGGGGGCCCTCGCGGCGCCGGACGCGCGCGAGCTTGGCGCAGGGCTTGTCGAGCCACGCCGGCGGGATCGTGAGCTTGATCGTGAGCCGGCTGCCGTCGTCGGCGTCGCCGCCGTTCTGCTTGTAGGCGAGGTAGACCTGCTTCGGCCGCTCCGCCGGCGCCTCCTCGACGGGCGTCGGGTTCGCGCGCTCCTCGCGGAGCCGCTCGAGCAGCGCGTCGCGCTCGCGCTCCTTCCGCTCCTGCAGCTCCTTCTTCCGCAGGTCGTCGGCGCCGATGGCGTTGACGATCTTGTAGCGGTCCGCCGCCGACGGGAACTTGCCCTTCTCCGGCGCCATGGCGCGGGCGGAACGGCGGAAGACGACACGGAGAGGCGGCGGGGCTGCTGGGTGTCGAGCTTCAACAAAACTTTGGCGGCCAAGTTGAATCGGCGCCCAAAAATTTCTCTGTGCGCAGGTGGTCGAAACTCGCCACGCCGACCGCCCCTCGCGCCGTCGACACGCCCCCGGGGGTCCGGGGTCCGTCCCACGCGTTCGGCCGAGCGGCACAGGAGTCACAGACGAACCCCCCCGACTTTAGAGAGCGTAACGAAGCGTCGAAGCGAGGAACGGCGAAAAGATGCGCCGCGCCCTGTTCGCCCTCGTGCTCCCCCTCGCCGCGGCCCTCGCCGCCGGGGCCCCGTGTAAGGCCGCCACGCGCAAGTTCTGCAAGGGCGTCAAACCTGGAAAAGTCGGCGATGCCAAGGCCGCGCGGCGCTGCGAGCGGGCCGAGTACGCCGAAGCGTGCGCCGCGTGCGGCCGGTGTAAAAAAACCACCACCCCGACGGACCGGGCGGTCTGCAAGGAGGCGCGCGGCAAGAAGAGTTGCAAAAAGGTCAAGCGCGGGGAGACGGACAAGAAGTGCGAGAAGTCAAAGTACAGGGACCGGTGCCCGGCGTGCGGCGTCTGCGGCTATTGCGGCGACTCGAAGGCGTGGCGCTACCGCGAGACCTCCGAGTTCGACGTCGGCAAGAAGAAGTGCCGGCACCTCGCGAAGAAGGCCAACAAGATGGTCGCGAAGGGCAAGAAGTACGACAAGGCGCTCAAGAAGGCGTGCAAGGTCGTCGGGCTCGACGGGACGCGCGGCCGCGACGCGTGCCCCGACACCTGCGGCACGCCCCTCGACGCCGCGACCTGCGCCGACCACATGCCGACGCCGCGGCCGACGCCGCGGCCGACGCCGCGGCCCACAGGCCCCTCGAAGACGTGCTTCGACGCGGACGGCGACGGCTGGCCTGGCGCCGGCTGCGACCAGGGCAGGACAAGAGAGCGAAATTCCCAACTTCAAAGGCTCCTATCTCGGCCGTTTTCCACTCGTTTCGGCTGATTTTTGGACGAGCGATCATCTCTCGGAACGGTCTCGAAGCGTGGATGCTTTTTCCGGAACGCGCGCGCGCGGAACACTCACGTTGAAGCGACGTTGAATCACCCTTTTGCTGCCCAGGCTGCGACTGCCACGCGGACTGCGCGACGTGCCGGGGCGGCGCCGTCGAGGACGACGACCCGCCGGTGGCCGTCTACCAGTGCGCCACGTGCCGCCACGGCGACCTCCACGCCGTCATGACCGATCCTGGGACCGGCGCGAACTACTCGACGTGCGGCCGGACGTCCTTCTACCGGCCGGGCAAGCCGAACGCCGGCGGCGCCTGCCACCACACCTGCGAGACCTGCGGCTTCAGCTTCAACCCGCTGGGCCCCGACGAGTGCGTCACGTGCCCGCGGGGCCGCGCGTTCGCGGAGACCGCCGCCGCCGACCCCGACCGCGGGACGCCGGCGACGGGCTCGTGCGTCCCGGCGCCGACGCCGAAGCCGACGCCGGCGCCGACGCCGGCGCCGACGCCGGCGCCGACGGGCCTCTCGGCGTCCTGCTACATCACGCCGGACACCTTCGCGTTCAACGACACGTGCGCGTGTCACGAGACCTGCGCGACGTGCGGCTTCTACGCGCCCGCCGGCGCCGGCGCGCCCGCCGCGGCGGCGTTCGACGCGTGCCTCTCCTGCCACGCCGACGTCGAGCTCCTGCCCTGGCGCGAGACGGGCTTCGACGACACGGGCTTCGCCGCCACGGGCACCTGCGGCTACACGGCGTTCGCGGCGCCGGCCGTCCCCGCGGCCGGCGCGTGCCACGAGTCGTGCTACTCGTGCCTCGGGTCGACGGCGACCTACGACGAGCCGGACCGCTGCCTCGCCTGCCCCGGCGGCGGGGCCCTGGCCGTCGTCCGCAACGACACGGCGTTCCCGACGGGCACGTGCGGCGGCGTCAAAACCGCGACCGTCTTCGTGCTCGTCCAGTTCTCGTTCGTCTTCGAGGCGCTGGACGCGGCGGCGTTCAACGGCGACGCGGACGCGGTCGCGGCCTTCACGGACGCGCTCGTGGACCAGCTCGACAGCGTCGTCAACGCCACGCAGGTCGCGGACGTCGTCGCCGTCGACGTCGTCCGCGACGACGCGCCCGCCGTCGCCGTCGCCTTCGACGTCGCCGTCGACGCGGTCGTCGCCGCGGGCGCGAGCTTCAACGTCACGGCCGCCGCGGCCGCCGTCGCGGCGGGCGTCAAGGCGGAGCTCTTCGGCGCGCTCGACGACGCCGCGTTCGCGGCCGCCATCGAGGAGGCCGTCGACCAGACCGGCGCGTCGCTCGACGTCACCGCGTCCAAGGACGAGCCGTTCCTCGCCCACGACTACTCCCCCACGCGCTCCCCGACGCTGACGCCGACGTCCGAGCCGACGGGCCCCTCCGCGGCCTGCTTCGCGCGCCTCCCCGGCGGCGACGTCGCCGCGAACGTCACCGCCGACGAGGGCGGCTGCGCGTGCCACGCGACCTGCGAGACGTGCGGCGTCTACGGCGCCGACTTCGCCGCCGCGTGGCCCGGCGTCGCGGCGCCGGCCGCGGGCGCGGCCGACGCGTGCCTCAGCTGCGCCGACGACGACGCGCCCTTCGTGGCCTGGCACGCCAACGGGACCGCGGCGCTCGGCGGCACGTGCGGCGCGGTCGCCTTCGCCGCGCCGGCGGCGCCCATCGCCAACGGCACGTGCCACGCGACCTGCGCGGCCTGCCTCGGCGACGCCGGCGCGGAGACCGGCGCGCACGACGCGCCGGACCGCTGCGTCGCGTGCGCCGGCGGCGCCGCGCTCGCCGTCGTCTACCCCGCCGACGAGCTCGCCGCCGCCTACAACGCGAGCGTCGGCCTCTTCGCCGGCGCGGGCACCTGCAACGGCACCGTCGTCGACGACGTCCGCGTCCGTTTGGAGGCGTGGATCTCCTTCCTCGGGCTCGACGCGGCCGCGTTCAACGCCGACTCGGCGAGGGTCGCGGCCTTCAAGGCCGCGGTCGCCGTCGCCGTCGCCGTCGTCTTCAACGCCACGGCCGTCACCGACGTCGTCGCGACGACGACGGTCGACAACCACCGGCTCCAAGTCGACGACTCGGCCGTCGCCTTTGCCGCGACGGTCCACACGGTCGTCGTCGCCGACGACGTCGCCGCCGAGGCGGACGCCATCGCGGCCGCCTTCCGGGCCCAGCTCACGGCGGCCATCAACGACACCCGCGTCGCCGAAGACCTCGCCGAAGCCGTCGGCGCGGAGTCCCTGAACGTCACCGCGTCGCTCGCGGCCGCCGCGGCCGCGACCGCCACCGACGCGTCGCCGACGCCCGCGCCGACGGCCGCCCCGACGTCCGCGCCCACGGCCGCGCCCACGGCCGCTCCCTCGGCCGCTCCCTCGGCCGCCCCGACGGCCGCGCCGACGGCCGCCCCCACGGCCGCGCCCACGGCCGCTCCCTCGGCCGCTCCCTCGGCCGCCCCGACGGCCGCGCCGACGGCCGCCCCCACGGCGGCGCCCACGGCGGCTCCCTCGGCCGCTCCCTCGGCCGCGCCGACGGCCGCGCCGACGGCCGCGCCCACGGCCGCGCCGACGGCCGGGTGATGATGGGGTCGACGACGGCGCCGACGGCCAAGCCGACGGCCGCGCCGACGGCCGCGCCGACGGCCGCGCCGACGGGGCCGTCGGCCAAGCCGACGGTCTGAGCCCACGCCCGCCCCAATTGCGTGATGCGATCCCCCCCCCCCCCGCTCGGGCAAGCACAAGGCTTGCATCGAACCGAGACGTAAGACGTATAGATCGACCCCGGCGGGCCGCGATGCACCGCGCGCGCGGGCGGCGCCCCGCGCGACGCGCTGGACGCGCGCGCGGCTCTTGGGAGTGGCGCGCCGATGGCGCCGCTCCGCCGCGGAGCTTGTCTCCGGGACGGCGGCGGGGGCCTAGTCGCGCTTCTGCTTGGCGGCCTTGTTGACGAACTCGCGGCCGACGAACTTGAGGACCTCGTCGATGGCGACGACGGCGACGGAGAAGGCGAGGACGAGGAGCCACTCGCGGCCGTCGAGGGGCACGACGTGGAAGACGGCCGCGAGGGCCGGCACGTACATGACGAGGAAGTGGAGGCCGAAGCTGAGGGCCATGGCCGCGAGGAGGTAGGGGTTCACCCAGGGCGGCTGCGACACGAGCGAGCAGTCCTCGCTGAGCGCGTTGAGCGCGTTGAACATCTCGATGGACACGAGCACGCTCAGCGACAGCGTCGACGCCTTGACCTTGCCGGCGCGGAAGTAGTCGCAGGGCGTGTCGAAGGAGACCTCGCCCGTGAGCGTCGCGTAGGACGTGGCCACGTCGAAGCCGTCCCAGGCCTCGCAGTCGCCCCAGGTCGCGAGCTGGCCGAGCGTCACCGTCGAGTGGCCGTCGCGGCTTAGGTCGATGCCGAGGAACGACGTCCGCGTGAACCAGACCGCGAAGACGCCGACGGTGGCCACACCGACGTAGGCGCCGACGACGAAGTAGCGCACGAGGATCCAGGGCGTGAGGAGCGCGTCGTCGGCCCGCCGCGGCGGCAGGACCATGTTGTCCGCGTCCGGCGGGTTGAAGCCGAGCGCCGTCGCGGGCGGGCCGTCGGTGACGAGGTTCACCCAGAGGAGCTGCACGGGGATGAGGCCCTCGGGGAAGCCCAGGGCCGCCGTGAGGAAGATGGACGCGACCTCGCCGACGTTCGAGCTGATCATGTAGCGGATGAACGCCTTCATGTTCGTGTAGATCGCGCGGCCCTCCGCGATGGCCGCGACGATGGACGAGAAGTTGTCGTCGGCGAGGACCATGTCGCTCGCCTCCTTGGCGACCTCCGTGCCCGTGATGCCCATGGCGATGCCGATGTCCGCGAGCTTGAGCGCGGGCGCGTCGTTGACGCCGTCGCCCGTCATGGCGACGACGTCGCCCCGCTCCTTGAGGAGGCGCACGATGTCCTGCTTGTGCGTGGGCTCCGCGCGCGAGAAGACGCGGCCGCCGGAGCCGCCGAGGAACGCCTTCTGGTCCGCCCTGGCCAGCCTCGCGAAGGCCGCGCCCGTGATCGACGACGCGTCGTCGGGGGGGCCGTCGAGGACGCCGATGGACGCGCAGACGGCCTCGGCCGTGAGCTTGTTGTCGCCCGTGATGACGATGACGCGGACGCCGGCGCGGCCGCAGGCCTCGATGGCGCCGGGCACCTCGGGCCGCGGCGGGTCCCGGAGGCCCACGAGCCCGACGAACGTGAGGCCCGACTCGACGGCCGCGTAGCCTTCGACGTCCTCGAGGAGTTTCGCGGCCGCGGCGGCGTCCTTCTTCGTCGCCTTCTTCGTGCCGTAGGTCGCGAGGGCGCCGAGGCCCGACCGCTTCTCCGCGAGCGCGAGCACGCGGAGCGCGCCGCCCGAGAGCCGCGCGGCCTCGGCGTCGAGCTGCTTCCGCCGCGCGGCCGTCAGCGGCGGCGTCGACCCGTCGCCGAGGCGCAGGAACGCGCAGCGGTCGAGGACCGACTCCGTCGCGCCCTTGACGTAGAGCGCGTTCGCGCCGCCGGCGTCCACGAGCACGGACATGGACTTGCGGTCGCGGTCGAAGTCGAGGAGCGCGGATCGCGGCTTCGCCGCGCGCCGCGCGTCGACGGCCGTCGACGGGCCGAAGGGCCCCGGGGGGCCGTCGGCCTTCTCCACGAGGGGCAGCAGCGCGGCCTCCGTCGGCGCGCCGACGGCCTCGACGCGGCCGTCGCCGCCGACGCGGAGCGACGCCGCGTTGCAGAGGGCCGCGACGTCGCAGAGCGCGTCGAGGGAGCCGTCGGCGCTCGAGAGCGCCAACCCGCCGTCGCGCGGGTCGTAGGACGTGCCGGCGACGTCGAGGGCGCGGGGCTTGGCCCGCGCGGACGCGCCGGGCAGCACGACGGCGACGCACGACATCTGGTTCGTCGTGAGCGTGCCTGTGTCGAAATCAAATCTTCAACCCGACTTCAATGTGCGCGTAATTGAACGGATTGCGCCGAACTCTTTCGCTGTGCTTCGAGAACTCGATGAGAGCGATCGATTCGTCCAAAAATCAGCCGAATCGACTTGGAATTGGCCGAGCTAGAGAATTCTGAAGTTTGGTCAGGACCCCCCAAACCAGTGGTTGATTTCCACACAGGAGCGTGCCCGTCTTGTCGGAGCAGATGACCGTCGTGCAGCCGAGCGTCTCCACGGAGGGCAGCTTGCGGACGATGGCGTTCTTCTTGACCATCTTGCGCGTGCCCAGGGCGAGGCACGTCGTGATGACCGTCGGCAGGCCCTCGGGGATCGCGGCGACGGCGAGCGCGACGGCGATCTTGAAGTAGTACGTGCACTTGGAGAAGGAGAAGTGGACGCCGTCGTCGTCGAAGGACACGAAGTGGGCGTAGTTGATGAGCCAGACGAGGAGGCAGACGACGCCGATGACCTGGGTCAGCGTGACGCCGAAGGCGTCGAGCTTCTTCTTGAGGGGCGTGTCGTCCTGCTCCTCGGCCGCGTCCGCGATCGCGCCGTGGATCCGCCCGATCTCCGTCGACGCGCCCGTCGCCGTGACGATGCCGACGCAGGACCCGGCGGCGACGGCCGTGCCGGAGAAGAGCATGCACTCCTTGGCCTGGATCTCGTCGCCGGCGCCGCAGAGCGCGTCCGCGTGCTTCGCCACGGCGTCGGACTCGCCCGTGAGGGACGCCTGGTCGAGGCGGACCGTCGCGCTGTGGCAGGCGACGAGCCGCAGGTCCGCGGGCACGCGGTCGCCGGTGACGAGCTCGACGACGTCGCCGGGCACGAGGTCCGCGGCTGGGAGGTCCGGGACGAGCGCGCCGTCGCGGTACGTCTTCGCGTGCTCGCTCTGGAGCTCCTTGAGCGCCTCGAGCGCGCGCTCCGCGTTCGACTCCTGCCAGACGCCGACGACGGCGTTGAGCACGAGGATGAGCACGATGACCGCGGGCTCGACGAACGCCGCGAACCCCTCGTCGCCGTCGCCGCCGAAGTACGCGAGGCCGAAGGACACGGCCGCCGCCGCGAGGAGCACCTTGACGAGGACGTCGTCGAACTGCTCGAGGACGAGCCGCCAGAGGGGCGTCGGGTCCTCCTTGGCGAGCTCGTTGGGGCCGTGGACGGCGCGGGCCTTGGACGCCGCGGCGGTCGTCAGGCCCTTCGCGACGGACGTCTTGAGGTGCTTGGCCGTCGCCGCGACGGTCGACGCCCAGGGGGCGAATTGCGCGGGGGGCATGGCGTCCGAGTGAGCGGGCGAGCGGGTCCACGCGACAACAGCTCAAGATCTCAGCGATTTCCACGGGGATGCGATGTGTTGCGCCCGCGTCGACCGCACTCGGCAGCTCTGAGGCCTCCTCCCCCCGCCGCGCGTACGAGTCCTCATGGTGAAGGTCCACTCGGGTGGATTAGCAGCACTCAGATGTGGCCAACGGGCAGGCGCTCGCCAGGGGCCAAGGGCGCGCGCGGGGCCCTGAGGCCGGCTTGCTCCTCGTCCATGCGCTTGAGGTCGCGCGCGGCTGAGGCGGCGGACTCGGGACATTCGAGGCCGCGGGCCGCTGCGCGTGCGTACCAGCGTCTGGCTTCTTCCTTATTTTGGGAAACACCCGCAACACCTCGTTCATAACACCTGCCGATGTTGAGTTCGGAGGCGACGTCACCTTGCTCGGCGCAAAGTTGCCAGAGCCGAAAAGCTGTCGCCGTGTCACCTTCCTGCGCTAACAGACCCGCGAGGTTGGCCCGCGAGCGTACGTGGCCGCCGTCTGCAGCCATCTGATACAAGCGCTTGGCTTCGGCGAAACTGGCCCCCAGGCCGCCGTAGCCGCGTTCGAAGCAGACGCCGAGGTTGTATAGCTTGCCATGGAGGTTGGGGGGGTGCCAGCTTGTAGTAACGGACAGCATCCTCCATGTCCCCGGAGTGGTGATCAAGCATAATTCCCAGAGAGCTCTGCGCATCCGCGTCGCCCCGATCCGCAGCCATGCGATAGAGCTGCATCGCCTTTTCCTTGTCCAGCTTGACGCCGTCTCCGCGCTCGTACAAGTTCCCGAGATGCGTCATCGCGTCCACGTTTCCGAGCGCCATACCGCGCTTGAAAATTTTCGCGGCCTTCTTCGTGGATTTTACTACCAGACGTCCCTCCGTGTAAATCTCGCCCAGCGCGTTGATCGCTTCCGGAACCTCGCGCTCCACGTGGCGGCGGAGCTCAGCCAGATACCCCGCTTCGCTCGTCGGCGGTTGTGCTCCACAGATGGGACATGACGCATCGTGAGTCTTCCTGGAGCACGACATGCAGATCGTACGGCAGCAGCACGATTGAAGTCGAGTCTGTTGATTTACGTCCCAGGCCTCGAGACAAATCGGGCATCGCCCCCCGAACCGCGCCGACGTCGGCTCCGGCTCCGGGTTCGCCTCGCGCCGCGCCCGGGCGGCCTCGTGCTCCGCCGCGATGCGCGCGCGGATCTCGTCGGCGTGAGACCGCGGCGCGGGGCCGTAGAAGATCTCCTTCGGTGGCGACGGCGGGAGCGTCGGCGCTTCCGCCCGCGCCGCTTCCGCCGCGCGCTCGTTCCGGATGGTCTTGCACGCCTTTCTGTGGCCTCGATCGCGCCAGTCGATGCGTTGGCACTCGGTCGTACAGTACCTATGGTCGCGCGTCACGGCCGCGCGCCGCCCCCGATCCGCGCGCCGGCGCGCACTGTGTCGTCCCGCAGGGACAATTGAGCTTGGCCTTCTCCCCGCAGATGGTGCAGGTCAAGCGGAGCCGCAATTCTTTGGCCCGGGCCTTCCTCGCTTCGTATTCTTTTACTTTCTCGACGTACTCTTGCTTCATACCGTGTCGGGGGGTAAGGCGTCCGGGTAATGAGGCGCGCGGGGTCGGCAGGCGGTCGGATTCGCCACTACTCGCCGATTCGACCCGAAGCATCTCACCAATGGCATTGTGTACAAAAGAAACCGGCAATCTAGAGGAGCTGGGGCGCGGGCTCGGGGTCCTCGATAGCCTGGGCGATGAGGGCGAATTGGGGCTCGTCCTTGCGCTTGGCGTGCTCCGTGGCGAGGACGGACGGGATCTCGAGGACCTCGGCCGGGGGCTTCGCGGACGGGACGACGCACGCGGCGAACTTGCGGCGCTGCGCGAGGATGCGCTTGAAGTAGAGGCCCAGGGCGAAGAAGACGAGGGCGCAGACCACGAGGAGGACGGCGACGGCGACCATGGCCTTGCGCGACAGGCCGTCGTCGTCGTCGTCGTCGCCGCCGCCCGGCCGCGGCTTCCCCTCGCCGCCGCCGCGCTTCATGCCCGTGTCCTTCTTCCCGTCGTCGTCCTTGCCCTGCCACTGGTCCTTGGCGGCCTGGGCGAAGTCCGACACGGGCGCGTCGCCGACGAAGAGCCCGCCGAGGTCCTCCTCGGCGATGGCGAACGCGTCGGGCAGGCCCGTCGAGCACTCGCCGAGATTCGACGCGCCGGACGAGCCCGGCTCGGAGCAGACCTCGTAGATCCAGCCCCGGTCCTTTGCCGCGGCCCGGGCGTCGACGAGGTACTCGTCCTCCACGTAGCGGCCCGTGACCGTGTTCTTGTGGAACTGGTGGTACTGTTCGCCGACGAAGAACGGGTAGAGGTCCGCGTCGTAGACGTAGACGGGCCCCTGGTCGAGGTACGTGGCGATGCCGCCGTTGTCCTCGACGAGCTCCATGCCGTTGACGTTCGCCGCCCGGAGCGCGGCGCCGTAGGGCCCCCGGAGGCCGCCGGGAATGCCCACCGCGTTCCGGTACTCCAAGCCTCGGTCCTGCGGGTCCTTGCGCGTCCACTGGCCGTTGTACCACATGAAGCCCTCGACGAAGTAGGACTCGGCGATGGCCGCGAACTGGTCCAGGGCGTCGGCCTCGTCGAGCAGCACCTCGACGACCTCCGCGTAGTCGTAGTCGCCGTAGTAGCTCTTGGGAGGGCCGCGGTAGTAGCAGACGAGGTTGTCCGGCGACCCGCCGACGCCGCCGGCGTAGCCGACGCGGGCCGTGACCTCGTCGAGCGCGCGCCCGAGCGCGCGCTCGACGACGTAGAAGTCGTACTGCGTGTGCCAGAAGCAGCCGTTGCCCAGGTACACGGCGACCTGGCCGCCGCAGCCCCCGGCGGCCACGGAGCCCGCGAACATGGTCGACGGCAGCTCGCCGGCGAGGGGCCGGCCGGCGACGGACACGAGGTCGACGCAGTAGCGGTTCCGGTCGTCGGGGATGTTGTGGCCGAGGTGCGTGCCGTCGACGGACACGAGCTCGCCGCGGTGGTCGCCGCCCTCGACGACGCGCACGTTCTCGACGATCGTCTCCTCGTCGCGGAACGACGGCCAGCCGTGGTGCAGCGACTCGTCGAGGAACTCGGCCATGGTGCGCCCGCGCGGCGCGACGAAGAGCAATTTTCCGGTCACGGAGTCGAAGAACTCGAGCTCCTCGGCCTCCGCGGCCTCCGCGAGGAAGGTCAGGTCGTCGCCGCGCCAGTAGCCCGCGCGCTCCGCGTAGCGCCGGTTGTGGCACGCGATGCGCTCCGCGAGGTCCTGGTCCACGTTCCAGCGCAGCTGCTCCTGCACGGGGCCGACGCAGTAGGTGCCGCTCGAGTCGTCCATGATCGAGTCCGGGGCGCCGGGCGCGGCGCCGAAGATCTTCGACGCGCCGGCGGCCGCCGCGAGGGCGACGAGGCGCGCCAGCATCGCGGTCGGGGCGGCGCGAACGGGGAGGCTGCCCTCTCTGCGCATAGCTCCCGTGTTCTTCGGTCGGGGCGGCGCGAACGGGGAGGAAGCTGCCCTCTCTGCACCGCGCTCCCGTGTTCTTCGGTCGGGGCGACGCGAACAGGGGGGGTGCTGCCCTCTGCGGTGGTGGAAACCACAGGGGAACGTGCCGTCAATGTTGATGTGCATCGGCGAAGCGAGCTCTCGGAGCATGCTCATGCTAAAGCCATGACCGCCATCACCGCAATGCCATGACAGCACCCATGGCACAACCGCCCCGCAAGATCCTCCTCGTCGGCGAGGGCGACTTCACCTTCGCGCTGGCGCTGAAGCTCGCGCTGCCGGAGATCGACCTCACGGCGACGGGCTTCGACGCGCTCGACGACGTGCGGCGCACGTACCAGGACGCGCCGTTTACGCTCGCGAAGCTCGAGAAGGCCGGCGCCGCGATCCTCCACGGCGTCGACGCGACGCGCCTCGAATCCTTTTGCGGCTTCGACGAGGTCGTCTTCTCGCACCCGCACCTCGGCGTCGAGGACGGCCCCGCGCACCACCGGCTCCTCGCGCACTACTTCGCCGCGGCCCGGGCCGTCGCGCCCGTCGTCCGCGTCACGCTCGCGGCGTCCCAGGCGTCGCTCTGGCGCTGCGACGCCGCGGCGGCGCGCTGCGGCCTGCGGCTCGCCCGGCGGGACCCGTTCCTCGACGACCGCGTCCCGGGCTACACGCGGCGCCGGAGCCTCCGCGGCGCGACGTTCCGCCACCGCACGCCGCGCGCGTCGGCGACGCGGGCCTACGCGTCGCCGGGCGTCGTTGTTTTGCCCGTGGCCTGGGCGGGCCTGCCGCGCGCGGCGGCGGACGCGCGCTGCCCCCGGTGCGGCCGGAGGTGCAGAGACGCGCGCGCGTACGCGACGCACTGGAAGGACGCCCACGGCGGCCCCCCGGAGGAGGCCTGTGTGCTTGTTGATGACGACGAGGAGGAGGAAGAAGACGACGTCGGCGACGAGGCGCCCGTCGAGGACGACCCGCCGGGTCCCGGCGGGTCGTGCGCCGTCTGCGGGATCGCGTTCGCGAGCGCCGAGGCCGCGGCGGCCCACGCGCGGAGCCTCGCGCCGGCGCGGCCCGCGGGCGTGGCCTGCGCCTGCGGCCGCGCCTTCGGCGGCGCGCGGGCCCTCGCGCAGCACGCGGCGAGCGGGACGTGCGCCGCGGCGCGGCGCCGCGTGCGCGTGCTCTACTGCCACGGCCTCGAGGCGGGCCCGGGCGGCTACAAGGCGCGCAAGTGCGGAGAGTGGGCCGACGTGCTCGCGCCGGACATGGCCGTGAGCCTGTGGCACCCGCTGCGCGAGAACTCCTTCCTCCTTCGCTTCCTCGCGGCGGTCTGGAACCGCGACGCGGCGCCGCGGCGCCGCGCGGCGGCCGACGCGCTCGGCGGCTGCGCGCGCGCCGTCGCGGCGGCCGCCGCGGCGGCACCGGCCTGCGACGCGCTGCTGGCGTCGAGCTGGGGCGCCGTCGTCGCGTTGCGGCTCCTCGCGGACGGCGCGTGGGCGGGGCCGGCCGTGCTGCTCTGCCCGGCGGTCTACGTGCTCCTCCACGCGGACGACGCGGACGCGCTCGTCGCGCGCGTCGCGGCGCTGCCGGCGCACCGCCGGCGCCAGCTGACCCTCATGCACGGCGACGCCGACGCGACGGTCCCCCTCGCGGACTCGCGGCGCGTCGCGGCGGCGACGGGCATCGCGCTCGTCGAGCTCCCGGGCGGCACCCACGGCCTCGGGCGCCACGCGACGGACGGCACGATCTTCGCCGCGCTCCTCGCGAACCTGCGCGCCGCGCGGGCCGCGCGGCCGGGCGCGAAGCGCGACGGCCGGCCCCTCGCGGACGCGTTCCTCCTCGACGGCCTGCCGCCGGGGGTAAGTTGCTGACGGCCACCCGACTGGCGCCTCATACTAGTACTCATACTAGTGCCTCAACCGGACATACTAGTACTCGCAAGGGGTTCAAGAATCGAACTTGAAGATCGCCGTGATTTCGTTTGACCTTTCCCAACTTTCGCGCATTTTTGGGCAATTTGGGCAGCTTCTCGCGGCTCAGCTCGCGGCGGCACCCGTTCGGAGCGCCCCCCCATAAATTCGAGGGCGCCCCCCCACACACACGGCGGCGATGGGGAGCGAGGTGGCGCCGGGCGACGTGGCCCTCGCGGAGAAGAAGATCCGCTTCGACCTCATCGCCGAGGACGACGCGGCGAGCTCGCCCGGGGGCAGCACGATGGCGTCGGAGAAGCACCACACCTACGACCAGCTCGTGAGCCTGAGCTCGGCGGACTCGACGCGGGGCGACCCCGGCGAGAACAAGGCCACAGTCGTGAGCGCCAAGTACGCGAACGAGTTCGACGCGAAGACGCAGCGCCGCTGCCTGGCGTTCTACCGGCGCCTCGACCGCGGCCTGGGCCTCGTGCTCCACTACGTCAAGGGCGCCACGTCCAAGCACCTCACGAACCTCGGCGTGTCCTACGGGTCGAGGCTCGAGGTCATCCTCTACGCGCAGCGGCACGAGGTCTGCTGGGCGAGCCACGAGCTAGGCGCGAAGCGCCGCTTCGACATGCGCAAGATCCCGAAGAAGTTCCCCCTCGACGAGCTCCTCCTCACGGACGCGCTCGCCGACGACCCGACGAAGACGCGGTTCCGCGTGACGCTCGGCGCCGAGGACGCGGACAAGCGCGACACCGTCGAGCTCCGCGTGGAAATCGACCGCCGGTTCGGGACATCCCGACCAAACGTTGAAATTCTCGAGCTCGGCCACATCGAAGTCCGTTCGGCTGATTTTTGGACGAATCGAGTGCGCTCGTCGAGCGCTCGAAGCGGAGCGAAAGAGCCTGGTCCGAACCGTTCGATGACGCGCGCATTGACGTCGGCTTGAAGATTCGAGTTCCGCGCAGATCGAGCTCGTCTTCTCCGCGGAGACGGAGCACGCGCGGTCCGTGGCCATCCGCGGCTTCGAGCTGCTGCGCAAGCACCACATGCAGATCATCCCGCCCGACGGCGACCTCGCGGGCATCGACGCGCTCGGCGGCGACGTGTCGCCGGGCGCGGGGTCGCTGTCCTACGGGCGCGGCTCGGAGTCGCGGGGCGGCGGCTCGTTCGCGCGCGCGTCCGCGGACTTCTCGCTGGCCGCCGGCGGCGCCAAGGGCGGGTCCGTGGCGGCGCTCATCGCCGACTCCTACGACCCGAAGCGCGCGCCCGTGCACCGCCGCTTCCGCCAGGAGGTCCGCGCCGCGGAGAGGGGCTACAAGGCGACGGTCGTCGAGATCCACTACGAGGCCTTCTTCTTCCACACGGCGCAGATCACGCTGTCCGACGGCAACGTCTTCCACCCCCCCCACGACAACTTCATCGAGGGCATGTGGGTCACGGGCGCGGTCCGCGGCTTCGACCTGTGTGCAAATCAAATCTTCAACCCGACTTCAATGTGAGCGTATGCGACAGTTTCGACGCAAGCCCTTCGGCTATGCTTCGAGAACTCAACGAGAGCAATCGATTCGTCCAAAAATCAGCCGAATCGACTTCGATTTGACCGAGCTAGAGAATTCTGAAGTTTGGTCAGGACCACCCAAACCAGTGGTTGAATTCCACACAGGCTTCGACGCGGACCGCAACGAGTACGACGTCGAGTACCTCGAGGGCCCCTTCGAGCACGACCCGGAGACGGGCGCGGACGTCGTGCTGTCCAAGTTCCCCAAGGGCACCATGTTCAACCGCGTGCACCGCGCGGACATGCACATCGACATGTCGATGCAGCAGACGAGCGGCTTCCCGCTCTTCATGGTCGCGATCACGCTCGCGCAGGTCGGCGTCTTCGTCGCCTGGTCCGACTACGTGCGCCGCGGGGCGCTCGGCGGGCCCGTGTCCCTCGCCGTGAACATGGTCGGCGACTGGCCCAAGTGCGGCGACCAGCGCGGCCAGCTCTGGCGCTACGTCGGCTACCAGTTCGTCCACGCGGACGCGTCGCACATCATCTACAACGCGATCGTCCAGCTGACGCTGGGCATCCCCGTGGAGCTCGTCTACGGCTCGCCGCGCATCTGCGGCATCTACCTCGTCTCCGTGGTCGTCGGCGCGCTGGCCGTCGTCTTCGCGACGCCGCAGTACATCATCGTCGGCGCGTCCGGCGGCGTCTACTCGCTCTTCGGCGTGCACTTGGGCAACGTGCTGCTCAACTTCGAGGAGTACCGCGCGGGGCTCTGCAACCGCTGGATGCGCATTTTGGCCCTCGGGCTCTTCGTCTTCGGGGACCTCGTCCAGTACTACGAGGCGCGCGAGGCCGGCGGCCGCGCGTCGACGTCGTACGCGGCGCACCTCGGCGGCTTCGCCGCGGGCTTCGTCTTCGCGCTCATCTTCCTCCACGAGATGGTCGACCACCCCATGGAGCACTGCATCCGCCGCCTCGCCTGGGTCGTCGCCGCGGCGTCCGTCGCGTTCCTCGTCGGCTGGAACGTCGTCAACGACCCGCCGAAGGGGCTCCCCGCGTTCTACACGGACCGCGAGAACCTGCCCTGCTGCTTCCAGGCCCTCTACTGCGACGGCCTCGACCAGGCGGACTGGCGCGACTGGAAGGAGAGCTTCGTCTGCACGTCGTCGGGCAACAAGCACGTGCTCTGGGACGGCCTCGGCGCGGACGCGCCCGACGACACGTTCTCCTGCTCCATGCTCGAGGACGTCCTCGACGCCTAATTCGACGACCAGGCGACCCCCAAGTCCCCGCCAATTCACACGACCCCGACCCCGCCCGAATTCGCAGCCTCCCCGCGCGCGGGTCCCGACGACCCCCCCCCGGAAAACGACATAACCAGTACGCGGCGCGCGGGCCGCGTCGAGCAAGCTCTTCGGGGGGCGGCCGTCCCCCCCCGAGGTGTCCTCGAGCGGTAAAGGAGATCTAAACCGAAAAGCCAGGAGTCATATACGAATCCGCGAGATCGCGACTCACCCCGCCTCGCGCTCGCGCTCCGCCACCCGCGGCGGCTCCGACGCCGCGAAGCACGCGCGCACGCAGTCTCGCCCCCGCGACTCCTCCGTCGCGCGCCGGATGGCGGCCTCGAGCCAGGGCGCCGGCGGCCCGCCGTCGTCCGCGGCGCCCCGCGGCGCCGCGGCCGGCGCCGCGTCGCCGCCGTCGCCGTCGTCGTCGTCGTCGTCGTCGTCGTCGTCGTCGTCGTCCCCGCGCTCCACGACGACGCCCACGGCCCGGAGCTTCGCCCGCAGCGCCGCCGCCGCCGCGACGGTGCCGAGCTCGACGCGGCGCGCCGCGCCCGGGTCGCCGTCGCGCGCCGCCGCCGCCGCGTCGCCGCGGCTCAGCAGCAGCGACAGCCTGCCGACCTTCGTCGCGCGCAGCTGCGCCCATTTCGCCACCCAGGGCTCCGGCGCGGCCCGCGCGACGACGACGACGCCGCGGACGGAGATCGCGAGCACGCCCCCGTCCGCGAGCGCCGCGTGGTCGACGTAGGGCTCGCCGTCGGGCCCGTCGCCGTCGCCGTCGTCGTCGGCCGCCGCCGCCAGCGGCGCCCGCGCGGGCGCCGCGGCGCGGCAGAGCGCCTGCGCGGCCGCGCCGACGCGCGAGTACGGCGCGAGCGCGCGGCGCGCGCCGCCGCCGTCCGGCAGCGCGGCGAGCGCGCGGCGCCGCCGGCGCGCGGCGCCGCGGCCCGGCGGCGCCGCGGGCCGCGGCCGCGGCCGCGCGCGGCCGCCGCAGGGGCCCGACGCGAGGCCCGACGCGAGCGACGCCAGCGCGTCGGCCGCGCCGACGGCGGGCTTGACCAGGACGCCGAGCAGCGCGCCCGCCGCGGACCGCGCGTCCGCCGACCGCGGCGCGTCGACGAGCAGCGACTCGAGCGCCCCGGTCGCGCCGTCGGCGACGTCGCGCCGCGCGGCCCGGAGCCCCGCCGCGAGCGACCGGATGCCGCCCTCGCGGCGCCGCCGCGCGGCGTGGCGCCGCGCGCGGTCGCAAAAGTAGGCCGCGTCGCCTGTGTGCAAATCAACCAGTGAGCTGGGACGCCGGGGCGACACTTCGGAATTCTCTAGCTCGGTCAAATCCAAGTCGATTCCGCTGATTTTTGGACGAATCGATTGCTCTCGTCGAGTTCTCGAAGCACGGCAGAAAACCTCGCGTCGAAACGGTCGCATACGCGCACATTGAAGTCGGGTTGAAGATTTGATTCGCACACAGCGCGTCGCCCGCGACGAGCGCGTGGGCCCCCGCGAGCTTGTCGCCGAGCGCCGACGACACGGCGCCCGCCGCGCGCGGCGCCGCGGCCGTCAGCGCGGTCGTCGCCGCCGCCAAATCGGCGTCCGCGACCGTCCGGGGCAGGTCGCCCAACGCGCCGAAGACGTACTTGAGCGCCTCGGCCCGCGCGTGCGCGACGAGCGCCGCGCGGAGCTGCGCCGCCGTGAGGAGCGCGTGGCGCGCCGAGAACGCGCCGAGCTCGAACGCCGCGTCGGACAGCGCCGCGAGCGGCGCGAGCAGCTCGAGCGCGCGCGCAGCGGAGCCGCCGAGCGACCGGCCGAGCGCGCCGTCGACGTCGTCGCCGCGCGCCGCGGGCGCGCCCGCGAGGGCGAGCGTGCACCGCAGGTCCACGGCGCCGAGCTCGATCGTGTCGACGTAGACGCGCGGCTCGCGCGCGAGCGCCGCGAAGAGGTCCGCGGGAGCCGCGGCGCCGTGGCGCCGCAGCGACGCGTCGACGCGCGGCGCGGCGCCGGGCGGCGCCGCCGCCGCGCCCGCCCAGGGGTCGTCGGAGGCCCCCTCGGCGAGGACCGTGCCGAAGGCGTCCGCGGCCTCGCAGAGCGCGACGAGCGTCGCGCGGTCGAGCGCGAACGACAGCGGCGCGACGCGCGCGCCCGCGTAGCGCCAGACCTCGGCGGCGCCGTCGACCTGGCGCGCGAGGGACACGTGGAGGAGGCACGCCCGGCCCGCCGGGTCGTCGTCGCGGTCGAGCACCGTCGCGAGGCGCGCGCCGCGCGCGTGCGACGTGACGACGCAGTCGCCGACGGTACCGTCGAGCGTCGCGCCCGCGCGGCTCTCGCCTGGGCAGCACAAGGGCGATTCAACGTCGCTTCAACGTGAGTGTTCCGCGCGCGCGCGTTCCGGAAAAAGCATCCACGCGTCGAGACCGTTCCGAGAGATGATCGCCCGTCCAAAGATCAGCCGAAACGAGTGGAAAACGGCCGAGAAAGGAGCCTTTGAAGTTGGGAATTTCGCTCTCTTTTGCTGCCCTGGCTCTCGCCCCCGGCGGCGTTCGCGGACCGCGCGCTCACCTCGACGCGCCGGCACGTCGCGAAGAGCGCCTCGCGCCGCGCGCGCGGCCGCCCGCGCGCCGCCGCCTCGTCCAGGACGACGGAGCACGACGCGGCCGCGACGCGGAGCGCGAACTCGGACGCGCGCGCGAGCGGGCTCGGCAGGCACGCCTCGTGGAGCGCCGCGTCGTAGCTGCTCGTCGACCGCGTCGCCACGCGCAGCACGGCGCCGCCGCCGCGCGCGTCGACGACCGCGTCGACGCCCCAGTGCGCCGACAGCACGTCGAGCGCGCCGCGGGCCTCGTCCGCGAGCGGCAGGCTCCGCCGGTCGCTTCCGCCGTCGACGCGGAGCGCCGGCGCGGCCCGGGCCAGCGCGCGGCCGTGTTTCCGTAAAAACGCGGCCGCGTCGGCCCGGGACCGGTTCGCGAGCGCGACGACGGCGACGCGGCGGTCGCGCGCGGACGGGTCGTCCCAGCCGAACGGCGCGGCGGACCGCGGGCCGACGAGCCAGTAGCGCGGCGCCGCGCCCGCCTGCCAGACGGCGACGAGCACGTCCGTCTCGTTGGCCACGGACACGAGGGGCGCGGCGACCGCCGCGTCCTCGAGGCCGACGCAGAGCAGCGTGCCGAAGTCGTCGCCCGGGCCCGCGCGCGGCCGCGCCTCGACGCGCGCGACCTTCGCCGCGGCGAGGTCCGCGACGGCGACGCCGCCGCGCGACGCGTCCGCGAGCGCCACGGGCGTCGACCCGTGGGCGTCGAGGCGCACGTCGCCCAGCGACGACAGCACCGCGCCGCCGTCGAGCGCCTGGAGCCGCGCGGCCGTCCGCCGGCCGACGTGCGCCGCGGCCCGCGCGCCGGGTTCGACCAGAACGAGCGCGTCGCCGGCGCGCACGGCGAGGCGGCAGGGCAGCGCGTTGAGGACGACGAAGCGCGGCAGCACCGCGACGACGCGCGCCGCCGCCGCGCCGGCCGACACCGCGAGGCACAGCGCCTTGTCGCCGAGCTCGAAGGGCACGGGCGCGCCCGCGGCGGCGGCGGCGCCGAGCGACGCGGCGAAGGTCGCGCCGCCGCCCGCGACGACGAGCGCGTCCGCGGAGCTCAGGAGGTGCACGCGCGCCGCGGCGCGCGCCGGCGCGGCGCGCGCCTCGTTGTCCACGCAGTCGAAGAACTCGTCGCCCGCCGCCTCCTCCTCGAGCGCCGACTCGTAGTAGGACGACGCGCCGTCGGACTCCGAGTCGCCGTCGTCGCTCGACGCGTCGCCGTGGTCGCTGAAGTCGTTCATCGTGGCCGCGGCGCCTCTGGACACGAGGAACGCCGCGTACATGTGCACGTCCCGGGCCCGCGACTTGGCGTCGCCGCGGCTCGTGACGCAGCCGAGCTTGCACACGTCGCCCGGCGCGACGTCCTTCTCGTAGAGGTCGAAGCGCACGGGGGCTTTGGCGCCGTCGGACGCGAAGATCCGCGCGGTCCGCCGGCCCGCGGCCGACGGCCGCCGCCCGAAGCCGCCCTCCATGAGCCAGAGCGGCCGGCACGTCGCCCGCGCGTCGAAGGCGACGACGAGCGTCGCGTCGCAGGACGCCTCGACGCTCACGAGGTGCGACGCGCGGAAGCCCGGGACCACGGACGCGTCGCCGCCGACGGTGAGGATCTGCGTCGTCGCCGGGTCCCGCAGGAACCGCGCGTCCTCGGCGTCGTCGCGCACCCAGGCGAGCCGCGCGTGGCGCCGCGCGTCGGCGAAGCAGCGCCGCCGGAAGGCGTCGCAGGACACGCTGCCGCGCGCGCCGCGGCCGCGCGCGTTCCCCGGCGCCGCCTCCGCGAAGGCCTCGGCGCCGACGCGCCGCGCCTCGAGCCCTCGG